CCCACTGAATCCCTACGTGCCCTGAAGCTGTAGATGAACCGCCGGAGTTCTCGGGCTCAACGCAGCCTGTGCTGAGTGGAACTTGCGGAGTCCATCTGACCCAAGGCTCTGCACTTGCCTTCATGGATGCTAAGAGCCTGGAGGGCAAGAAATGTCAGACACGGGTTTAGGAAGTCAGGAAGCAGAGTGCAGGTGTTTTCTCCCGAAGTTGGCAGGATGGTTCCTGTATCCTGAGGGCAAGAGTTCCACTTTCGGTCGAAAGGCCGTCAGGTTTGAATGATAAGTCGAGTGAGGTGTTACACGGACGCGGGCGCAGCTCATTAGAGTCTGAACACTGCAACAGTGCTGCAGGTTTAATGCGTGTCCGAGATTGATTAGAGCACCCTTAGTGGCTGACAGAAGTACAAGTTGTATTGGTCACACCTATCTTTATCAACACTCAGTCTTGCCGTGAGACCAACATCATTGAACCTCAAGAATTACTATTGAGGCTGCTGCTGCTGCTGCTGCGACGACCGCGACGACCGCGACCACCATCACCGTCATCACCATCAGCACCATCAGCACCATCAGCACCATCAGTATCATCACCACCACCATCACCAGCACTGTAGTCATATGCGCCATATCCAATACCTTCAAACAGGCGGAAGTTCAAAAGCGCGCGACCCGGAGCCTTTCACACCAGAACCCTGACCCGATTTGTAAACTCAAAGCCACGTCTCCCAACGAAGGGCCTTTTGTCATGGCTCTTGCACGGCGTGGCAGTGCCAGTGCTCTGGCACTCGGGAACTTCTGCAGCAAGCAGTGCGGGTGCAGGGGTTTCGAAGTTTCGGCTTTGGATTCCTGTGGAGAGCTCCGGAGTTAAGGGCTTGGGGCATGCAGTTAGCTTTGTATGGCTCAGGGTGTGCATCCCAGGACATGTCGGTGCAGTCTCCTTTGTGGGCCTTTTGTTTCGTGGCCAATCAGGTTTTTTGGGCTTTTTGGCCACAGCTGCAAGTAAAGTGGCTTGCAACGAGCCCAGGCCCACGATCCTGAAACCAGAGCCCCCAGTCCACAATTTTTAAAACCTCAAGCCTTGAAGAGCTGCAGCCGCAATGCCGTGGTAAGCCGTAAGCCCTCGAAATCCTTACAGAATCCCTGTGATAATTGGATCTTAATCAACCGCAACTTTGGCACCGAGGCTTTGTGTGCTGGCCTCTCGGCAACCTTTCAGCACCCTCATAGGCACTCTTTGAGGGAATCCTCACGGTTTTTTTCCTCACGGGGGTTTGGGTTGAGAATTGCCGAGGGTTTCAGGGTTAAGGTTTTAAGGTTTGGGGTCCATGATGAAGGGTTTTGACCGTGATAGGCTAATCTGTAGGGCCTTAGGTTGAGAGTTTCAAGGCTCTGGGGCTTTAGGTGTCCAGGCTTTCGTTTTGACTTCTTCAGGGCTTCGGGTGCTCCGAGGTTTAGCGATTCGAGCTACGAGCTGTCGGGCTGAAAATGTGGACGTGCGTCGGAGCACTTCTTTTTGGGCGTTAAGCACTTTTCCCCAGGGGTCCTCATTATAGTCGTAGCACAAACTGCCCAGCACCCGGTTAAAAGGATCAACGGCCCCCTACATCATCGCTTCGTGGGCTTCAGGTGCTTAAGAGTCTGGGTTTCTTGCTTGGGGTTAAGGAGAGGAGTGTCGATCCTCCCTCGTCCCGAAAGCCTAAACCTCGGCGCAGAGCCCGGACTCAATACCCGGAACCCGAAAGTCCCCAAGCCCTGCACCCCTAACCCTGACACCGTCACCAAAGTAATGCGGTCGATAGCAGGAAAGCAGGCAAGAATGTTGACCGATATCGTACTACCAACCTCAAAGCCGAAAACCTAAACAGGAGTCCTAAGGTGCTCAAATCCTTGGCTTTCCTCGCTACCCCGGCAGTCGCGGCTCCAAGGCTGCGTGCAGCGCAGGCGCCGCGCGATCTGTGGCTTTCGGGCTCTTCTCGGGACTAGGGTGTAGAAGGGTTTACAAGTTAGGCTTCAGGGCGATGAGGCCAGGCAGCCCAACGAAGATGGAAGCTTAGGGTGACGGCACTTGGAGGCTGCTTCGATGCGATCTCTCACGAGTCTGTGGCTCCCGAGCTTCGTCAGCAACGGTGAGAAACCATTCGCTTGGATAGGTGGCAAATCGTTCCAACACGGTCCTTCCAGGAGCTTACTAGGAAACTCAAGGAGGGATCGTTGCTAGCCGAAGCTACGCGCGCGATGTACAGCACTGTTCGGCTCGCAATAAGAGTGCGAGAGTTGCTCTGGCTCTGCTGTTCTTTGCAATGGACGGCCAAGCATTGCAGTTGACGAAACTTTTAAACCTCTGTCTAAACCCCTAAACCCCTAAACCCTAAACTCATCCCAAAACCAGTCTTTGCATTTCAGAACTTGAAGACATCTGCAACTGGTCAGTGAACCGAAGCCCATGGCGAAGTTCTGCAGACAAGCATCGGAGGGGTTTTCGGGGGTTTGGGAGCGAGCTTAGGATCCTGCATTTTCCGACCGGGGATTAACTTGAGGACTACCAATCTTCCATGACGAGTTACACTTTATTCGATGTTTCGCATTCTTTGAAGATTTCCTTGAGGTCACAAGTCCGAGCCCTAACCCCCAAACCCCTCCACCCCAAGCCCTTAGGACCCCCGCACCCCTGAGCCCACAAACCCCATTTCAAGCCCTGAGAAAGGGGCCTCAATAATCACCTATGTTATGTTGTTACAGTATAATGGGCCCCAAAACCCGATTCTAGTTATTGAAGCCCCTACATTACTCTGCACAGGCCGGGGCTTTCGGAGCAGCCGCGCTGGCTGCGCCTTTACCGGCCCAGGCAATCGAAGGACCCGGCTCGTTCAGGCTTTGGTGATTAGAGTTTCGTGTTCGGGTTTACATTTTAGGCTTTGAAGGTGTGCGGCCTTCGGTCATGGCATGTCTGGTTTCAGGGACCTGGCATTGCGGTGAACATTGCTCTGTGCTTCCGGGTTGCAGTGAGGCTCAGGATCGAGAGTGTTGCCGTCGTTGGTAGTCTCATCGTTGTAGCTATATTGTAATAGAATTATAACTGAGATTCATGCTATAATCATAGTTATTGGCGTGGGGGGAGGGGGGGGGGTGTTTGGGGTGGGGAGCGGGGCAAAGCACCGTTTGCCGTTAACGAAGCGCGAGACCCTGAACGAGAAATTCTCCACACTGCTGTCTATGCTTTCCGAAGCCTTACACCCTCAAGCTGCATTTGCAGCCCCGCCGGGTTGCGATTCCTTGGCGAGATTTCGGGGATCGAGTCTGAGGGTTTAGGATGTGGGGTTCCCGAGGTTGAAAGCCGGTACTTTGCGGGCTTCGACAGGAGTCTCCACCTTCGAGCTCGCCTTTGGTGGTATTTGCTCCCTGTCGGATTTGTGTGCTGGGTGTCCGCATTCACTTCAGCTTTGCGCCAGAACTGATCCCCAAATCGAACCCTTAACACTTAACGTGGAAGGCAGAGAAAGCCAACATGCTGGAACCCAAAGCATCTTATCTCCCTGACAAGGTGTGAACCTCGAGCAGCAACAGAGACAACGAACAAAGACTTGAGCTTGGATCCAACCGAGGCCTTTTTTTCTTGATCGTGGTCGTTGTGTCAGACTACCTTAAGGCCGACTGACGTGGGGCTAGCGGTGAAGCTACGCTGCAGCCCGAAGTCCCTGCAAGTCCTCAAGCATCGAAGCGTGCAATCGAAATACGAAGCGCCGCCGAAACGAAGCGCAGCTACCAAGCCTTCAGCCAGCCAGCAAGCTTCAACTCTAACCTTCGATGGAGACGCTCGAGCTTGTCACGCGTCACGCCCGTCCAAAGATTCTGTCGGCGGCAGGCGAAAATACCTCGAGTCTCTAGGGTTCAGGCTTTATAGTTTTGCACTGCCGTGAGACACACTGTCAGGATAATTATCCATGCCATTCGGACAGGAAATGCCATAATTGACGCGACCATGATGATGATCATCATGCTCATCATTCATATCATGCCCAGCATGCCCTCATGATCAGCATGGTCATTCACCGCTATCGGGCGATCACCGTCAGTGTCAGCATGCTGACTTTGCAAATGCTTGGGGGAGCGTTCGGTCCGCGAAAGACTTGTTGTCAGGGTTCCGGATTTGGCGGGGAGTTCCCGTCAAGTCTACTACATTGATACATCATGCCATGATCATGGTCTCTGGTACAAACGTGCTGTATGTACCGTATATAGATAGATACATTGTAGTAGTGCCACAAATTCTCTGTTGCACGTGGGCGGTGGAATCGCGGTTCCGAGATCCAGGTTTCGGGACTGAGGTTTTCGGTGCTTAGTAGCACCTCAGCATGTTCATCTTCGTGTTGCGCTGCGGGCATGAGTAAGCATTTTATGATTCTCCGTAGAGGCCTCTGTACTCCCTCGTCGGCCTATTTGTGCATCTGCAGACCAAAACCCAGAAACTTCACCGACTGCAGAAATGTCAACCGAAAGTCTTGGAGTTTTCTGAGTTATGTACATGACATGAATTTGACAAGGTGCGTGGAAGAGCCTCTATAATTCGCTTTGCAGTTTGTTCCGACCCAGGCCGTCTACTCCGGTTGTCTAAGCCCCGTACACGGGGTCAGAGATCTTGGAATGCTTGGAGCGTGAGAAAGTTTCACCCAGCTTCCTGCTTGGATACATCCCGCAAATTCAGAATTCTCCGCGGCTCACAGTGCTTACTAGGGCAGACGAGCCAGGAGCCACAAACAGAATGGAGGGTTGTGCTTGGCGTTCCAGGCAAGGCAGGTGCCGTTCAAGGCAGTTTAAGTTTAGGGCGTGGAGGGAGTGGCCCTGAGCCCCCTCATTCAAGCGTGACCACCCAACAGCACCCAAAGGCCCTCCAAACCCGAGACCCTCGACCCTGGAGCCCTGAAGGCCCTCAACCGCCCAAGTCCTCCAACACCCCGACACGCCCTCGACCAAGCCTTGGAGCCTCAGAGCCAAATGCGGCCATGGTCCGACGCTACGAGCGGCTGCGACACCTCAGCGTAGGCTCCGCTGAGGTCAAGACTTTCGGATTTAGGGTTGCCAAGAACCGGAACACACATGCTGCAGTGGGTTGCAGCCTTTTGCGATAAGCCATTCGTTCGAGCATGTCGAAGCCTGAGCAAATCTTCGATAGACAGGTCGTGTAGCATCCAGGTATAGTCGTACTCCAGCATGCCCCCCTCACACCCTCTTCAAATCTATTCGGCTCTATGCTTTGAGCCACAAGCCTTGCGCTCCCATAAGTCTGAAATCCTGAACATCCAGCCCGATATCCCGCAACATACATCACCGGAACCTTAAACCTGAATCTCTACTTACACGTGCAGATCCAGCCCACTTCAACACTTTAAGCAAACGCCACGGAGGCACAGACATGTAAGGGTTCCAAGTTTAAGGCCGACAGGGCTGATGCTCGAAGGTTTTCGAAGGAGACTTGGTCCAGGGTCTTTGAAGAGCATCTAAGGCTCTTAGGGGTTTGCCCCGACGAGGCCGTTTCGGCGTGTCGCTGCTCATCAAAGATGTGGAGTCCGACACGCTGGCGATGATGAAGACCATCGACGCCTGGGGCCGAGCCTGGGTTTCGTTGTTTCCGTTGTTTTGTTAACTCTTTGTAGTGGAGGTGTGAGGGCTTGGTAGTACTTCTTCTCGGATGTGTTGGGGAAGTGTGCAGGGATATTGGCGTGCGGGGCTCAGAACCACGTGAAGCCCCACAGAAACAAATGTGGATCCTGCCAGAATGTGGGGCTTACTTGCAATCTTCATGAAGCTTCGACGAACCCTTTCCACAGCTTCACAAAGCTTACATAGGCCTTGCAGTTTACACCATCCGCAACCCCCCAGTCCTAGATTCACAACCCTTAAAAATCTGAACCCTAGCACCCTGCAAGTGTCGATAAAAACAGTGTAAAGCCCTTATGATGCCCCACGTAGTCTTGGATAGCGGCACCAAGCCCTCAGCCTCCGAATTCCAGCAGGATCAGTGGAGCGTGCAACCTTCTTTGCAGAAATCTGCAAGACCCCCAAAATCAAGCAACACCCTCCGTGTAGCACCCTCCTTCAGGCTCCTTCAGAGCTACAACCTTCTGAAGAAGCCCGTGCCCGTGTAGAACCCCTTCGAAAACCCACAAAGCCCCTTTATAAAATTCCCTCGTGAAACCCTCACGAAATCTCTGAACAACCCTGGGAAGCCCTCTCCAAGTACTGCTGGCTCCCAAGCCCTGCAACAAGCCCTATGGCCCTGTGAGCCCTTTAAGACTCAGAAGCCCTAAAAGCCCCCGCCTGCCCCCCCCCCCCCGCCAAACGTCGTTTTACAACTCCCAGGTCGCCGCGCTAAATGGCGCGGAGCGGTCCGAGCTCCTCCGCGAACTCCGAGGCCAACTTCGTTTTGTTGGGGTCTTCTCGCTTCTTCCTTCTGTTTTGGCTTACAGTTGGTTTCCTAGACGGAGGTTGTTTGTACGGTTCAGAGTTCAGTTTCCGGAGCATGCATTTGGTTTGCATAGCTTCAGTGACACTCTTTTGCGCCGGTTTTGGGTTTTCGGGTCCTGGCAAAGCCCCAAAGACTGAACTCCAAACCCCAACACCCTAAAGCCACAATTTGCTGGTGGACCTTAAGTATCGGGATGTTCGGCGTCGTCACCCGCGACCAGGCTTGACGAAACTGCGTCATCCCTACCTGCTTCCGTGCCTCGGCACAGAGATGCGCGTCTAGGATTCAAAGGTTCAGACTTCGGGTTCAAGCTTCGATGTTCCTTCAACCCTGCCTGGACTCATAGGCCCGCAGAGAGTCCGAGTCCGGCGCCGTTACGATCCCCACCTGACAGGGCCCCTAGGCTCAGAGGCTCGTGAACTTCGGGCGGTGGGTGAAAGAAAACTCCCGAAGCCGGAAAGCAGCATGGATTTTCTTTGCCCCAGGATGCGGGAGTCCTTTCTGCACCAAGGCCAGGCAGAGTTTGTTTTGGTCAGAGCGGCTTCGGATTGCGGGCGAAGTGAGGCGACGTTGAACCGCAAGCAACAGGCACCCGCGAGTACAGCCCCAAAACCCGTGATCCCTGTGAACCGCCTTCCTGCAGGGCGGCTCTGCCTGATCATGGACTATCTGCCTCGAGGTCTCTCGTCGATAGGGGCGGACTTATTTCTTGATAGCTGCCCTTTGATGGCATTTGGGTGGCTGGTTGGTTCTTGCATCTAATCTGTTTTAGATGCTGTTCTTGGAGCAGTGTGTTTTGCGTTAGTGCTTAGGCAGGGTGGCGGTTACTCTTACGATTCGGCCGTCCGAGCTCCAAGGCTACCTCACTTCTTCCGTCATGCGGCGAGTCCCATGAACGCAATTGACATAGAGGATCTCTTTTGAGGGCCGCTTAGCCCTCAAGCCTAAACTCTCCCAAAGCCCCCAAACCCCAAACCCTTATAGCAATCCTTTAGAGAACCCTGAGCTTCGGCTCAGGGTTCAGGATTTCACCCCCCATGTCGCCACGGTGGAGCTTGAGCCCTGAAGTGAGAACCTTTGACCCCAAGCCCTGAAGCTCTTCCAAGCTTACAGCAGAAGAGCCCTAAAACCCTTAGAACCTTTAAAGCCCTCAGAACCCTAAAGCCCTGGGAACCTTAAACCGAACCCCCCTAGAAATTCAGAGCCCGAAGGCCCCTGAAGCCCCGCGAAGCTTTTTCCATGAAGCGGCAGGCAGCTTAGCGGCCGAGGCACTGCAGTCTGACGGGGTCTTCAAAGAGCGGGTTTTACAGCTTTAGGATGGGTAGCTTATCTATGATGTGAGGAACGAAGGTTCTGTGCAGGAAGGGTTCTTTTAGGCGTTCTAGGCCTGTGGGGTTTGGGCTTGTAGGGTCCAGGGATTTGGCGTTCTACGGGATTTGTTATAAAGTTGTTGTTTGTTTTAAGGGCTTATGGGTTTTAGGTTACAAGGGCGCAGGCTGTAGAAGTGCTGGGTTAAATAGTCAAGTTTTGCAAAAGACTTTTGGCGCTCTATACGTTTTCACCGAGTTTCAACATTCGGGGGTCGGAAACAGGCCGTGTTGCGCTTTTTGTGGGAGGGCTCAGAGTTCCTAGCCGTTGTGAGGAGCTCCCACAACATGAGGAGAGAGTTTATGGCTTGGGGCTTGGCTTCGGGATATCAAGATTTGGCATGCTGCCCGGTGCTTAGGGAGTGTGGACTCTGGACACACGGTTCAGTCTGAGAGCTTTGGGCGCGGATCGAGTCGGAAAGGTGGCCATCCTGCTGCCCATATTAAACTCTTAACCTTTCCAAGCCGTGAAAGTTTTAAGCACCCCAAAACTTTTGCTCCCAAAAACTCAAGGGTTGAACAACCGGGAGCTCGCAGATTCTGGACCTGAACTGCTTTGGAAAGCCGAAGCTGTTGCAACCAGCTTTGAGTTCTTTCTCTCACTCTCACTGTTACTACTATTACTACTATTACTACTATTATTACTATTATTACTATTCTTATCACTATTACTTTATTACTATTATTTTCCCTCTCACTCGGCTCTGGGCTCTGGGCTCTCGGCTCTCTCTCGGCCCCAAGTTGCCCCTTGAGGTGGATGCGGCGCGTGCTCCCGGCGCGTCTTTTTTTGGGCCATGTAGGGGCGGCGGCCGGCGTTGCTTTTTTCTCTCCGGGGTTTGGGTTGTAGGATGTGTGCTGGTGGTCCCTCAGAGGGTTTGCATATGTTGTATGTGCATTAATAAAGATCCACACAGATATTTGGGTTTGGAGCAGGTTTCGTTTTGGGTCTCGAGCCCCCCAGCCGAACCACAGGTCTAGGACTTCAGACTTCAGGTCGTATTGGGGTTTTGGGGCCTGATTTCGAGAAGCCTCCACAGAATCTCTCGGAGGCAGTTTCGGGACCCAGATTGCTCCGGAGAAGGTCTTGCACACTTTTGTGCAGGTGCCGGGGGCTTTAGGGACTTAGGGCCTCAGGGTTTAGGGCTTGGGTTTCTAATGTGTTGGGTTTAAAGGGGTTGGTTCGAGAGTTTGTGTGACTTTGAGATCCCAGGTCTTGTAGTTCCTTCGATAATCGGTTGCTTTTGAAAGCTCGCGGCCGCTTCAGGGGTTTGCAGTCGGAAGTCGCAAGGCTTGACAGCTTATCCTTTGGGGTGGGCTATGAAAGCCATCGGCCTGAGCTGCCCAATGCTGTCATTGTCCGCCGGGAGCTGTAGCTTTCTTGCGTCAGAGCGGCTTCAGGACTTGGGAGCATGCGTCAGCATGAGACCGGGGCGAGCAAGATTCAACATTGGCTGAGTTTCTGAGCTTCGCTCCTCGGATTCGGGGTCCGACGACAATGCCAGTGATGGGAAATCCAGTCTTCGTTCCCTCCATGCTCGGACCTTAAAGAAGGTTCCTCTAAAGTCGCGTATTCTATCTCAGCTGGCTTGATCAGGAAGGGGCCCATGACGAACCACTCCGGCACCAGATTTGAGATCGCAAACCCGAGTTGCCAGGTTGGGGAGCATCCCCCAAACCACCCAAAGCAGCAGTTTTCACAACGGTTCCTGATGAAGCAAAACCCTGCACCCTCTAAAGCCCACACAGTATGCACGACCTCGAAGGCCTTGCTGGGCCTGTCTTACCTGCACAGCTGCGGGACACTGCACCGAGACCTCCGCACGAAGCGCCCGCCCGGCGAAGCTTCGACCCGGGCGGTTCGAGCTGTTTCTGATGTTGGAGAGGGTTTCGGGTGCTGCATTTAGTGTAGTGGGTTTGGGGCTGCCGTTCGGATTTGTGCTTTTATCAGAACTTGTAATGTCGTGATGCCTGTGACTATGACGGCTAGATGCTGCATGCAGAATAAGGCACATTCTTCCCACTTTGGTTGCTGCGGCCGTTGCACTTGTTCATGCCCTTCTTGATGTACTGGGGGTTCGATGATGTAGTTCCAGGTGCCCTCAAACACTGGACCCCGGCTGTTTCCAAGTAATTTAGACGTAAGAGTTTCGGTAGTCACTACCATGAATCCTGTATGCCCCGCTCCTAGCACGCCTACCTATCGCGGGCTGGTGCGCGATGCCGCTACTATCGGAGACAGGTGTCGGAAGCATGTCCATATCTTGTTTGTACAAGCAGAGAATAAGCAGAGAATGAACTCCATGTCCTATGTAGCGGCCTCTTGACAAACTCTTCTGCTAATTAGGGCAGCTGCCAGCAGTTAGTTGTGGTAGCAATAGCAGCACGGCAAGAGCACCACGGCTGCTGCTGCTGCTGCTTCTGCTGATGCTACTTCTCCTGCCCATGAAGTCTGCAGGCCTTCTGAGGACACAATCCGGGTGCAACCCTCAGTGGTCGCAGGGCTTTCTCGGAGCTTGCGGCCCCGAGTTGACGACTAGGGAATTTAGCTACGAGGCTGGAATTGGTACCCTGCCTTGCCACTGCTTTACGAAGTCTTCTCTCATGCTCCTGGTAGGGCTAAAGCTATCTGACCTTCAGGTTTTCGCGGTTGTGTGTAAGTCCTCTGCACGGACACGCATCCCGGGCTGGTATCCCGATTCCCGGGCCGAAACAGCATGCTTCTGTGATGTTAAGTGCCGGAGAGCACAGGGTTCTGAATCCTAACCCTGCGCCCTTTTAAGCTGGAGTTGGACCCCTCAGTTTTCAGGCCTGACGAATCTAAGTGTTCCGGCTCCCTTCCACTGCTCGTGCGATTGCACTGCTGTTACTATACTGGCAGCGACCACTGTCGTCTTCATTCCTGCCAACAGAACTAGTAACAAACATCAGCACCCTCTTGCTGAGGCTGGTGGTGCTCACCGGCGCGGCCTTGCGCTGACCTCAAGGTTTAGGTTAGCTCAGGGCTTGGAGCAATAGGACTGAGATACATATACATACACATACACCTACACATACACCTATACCCCTACACATACGCATATACATGCATGCATGCATACATACGTACATACGTGCATGCATACATACGTACTGTACAGTGCACCTTGTGTTTCATACAGGCTGTTGTTTTATCGTGGTACGCTATCCTCGTGGGCATCTTCTTGATCGTTTTTCAGGTGCTGCGAACATGTGGATTGACGGAAAAAGGCCCGTATAAGCGATAAACAAGCACCATAGCACTGAGGTCCGTGGTCGTTCGTCGCGCGCTGTTCTTCGAAAGGCCTTATCTTGTCTTTGCGGGCTCTCTCAACGAGAGGTGACGGTTAGAGTGTCAGTTTTACGGTTTTAGGGAATAGAGGTTGAGGTAAAGGGTGCAGGATTTGACGAACACAGGGCAACGTTATGTTTTCTATCGTCATTCTGCCCTGGCTTCCAAACTAACCCCTTCGGAGTGTATAGTTTCAGCTTTTGCGCAGAGGGTGCCTCCTTTGAGTCCAAGATCTATGATTCTGACGGTCTAGGTTCGAGATTTACGATCATTCTGCGTGACGATCCTGCATTGGGGAGCTGTTGAAGAACCTGAGCTGAAGTATCGGAGGCTTTGCAGGTTGAGGGTTCCAGGTTCATGCGACACAAGGGTTAGGACTAGGAAGTCTAGCTCCAACATTTTGAAGCCGAAAGCCCGGAATTTAGGCCGGATCCCAACCCGTAAAGCTCATCGCAATGTGCTCTAAGCCTCCGGCCTCAAACCAGCTCCGGATCAGAAGCAGCGTCCTCCGCATTTCATAAAGCGAAAGGGGCCTTCGGTGACACCTATTCTCACCGTTGCACGGTGTTTAGGCTTCAAGCCCTAGACTCTAGACCGATATCTTCAACGCTGAGCTACAGTCCCAACCCACCCCGGAGCCAGGCCGAACCTGGAGGCGCTCCGGTACCTGAGCCCAGAGCTCCTTATGGAACCAGAGGCGAGTTGCTCATGGCTCTTTTTCATGAGCTTGTGCTTCGTATTGCTTGTGTTTCCCAACGCCTTCAGTTTCACTCCAGTCCGGTATTCCGAATGCTATTCGTCGGGTTTTCTGCCTGTAACTGCTCATGTAACTACATAGGCAGAGGTATCATCACATTTGTTTGTGGGTGGGTGCGGAACGTTAGGAGGCTTTTGCACAGTCGCAAGAAGATTGCGTGGTGTGGGGATTTGCTTTGCCACCTGAGCCACAAGTCCTGAAGCCCTAATGCCCGCCAAACCCTGCGTGTGAAGCCCGAAGTCCTAAACTTGAACCTAAGGGGTAAGGTTGACGGGCCCCATCGAGCTGAAAGCTGGTGATGCCAGGACTTGAAGTTCAGGTTTTAGGGTTGAGTATTCATGTTTTAGGGTTTGAGGAGCCACGTAAGCTCTTCAGAAAACTGCTGTCTTGAAAGGGCGATTGTTGGAGCATCCATCGGTGCTTGGGAGCAATTCTTGGAGTTGCTCGTGACAGTGTGGTTATGTTTCGGTGGAACGTGGTGGACATGTGCACGACACCCCGCACCTCAAGACCTAAATTGGTTTTCGTTGGACTTCGGAGTCATCTTCGCTACGAGACACTAGTTTTATGAGGGGTTGCATGCTATGCAGGCTCTTTTGGTGGGTTCAGGTTTATGGGGCTGTTAAGCAGGGCCCTGCCCTCCACCCAGCCCTGGTACATGCTTCCTGCTCCGTAATTCGGGCCCGGGAGTCCCGGAGTAGATCCCGGGACAGGGGCTCCACAAACCCCTTTGGAACCCCTCAACTCATCCTGTGAAGCCGAACCTGAACATTGTAGGGGTCCATGCCAGGCCCACACCGCCGCGAGCGACATGTGGGCGATGGGGATCATCTTGTGTGCCCACCAGTTTTGGAAACTACGTGGTCCGAGCACAGATCATGCCTGTGAAGATCCTTCTTGCACGGGCCCTCAAGCCCAGGCGCCCCCCTATTTCATGAAATCCTAGAAGCTGTTGCTGCTGCTGCTGCTGCTGCAAGCGCGATCGCTCACGCTGCTTTCAATTTCGTAAGCATGATGAAGATCTTTTCAGGACTGTATAGGATTGAGGGTTTAGGAAGCATCATGTCAAGACTTCTACCCGTCCTCACGACCTTTTCCCGATCGTATTCCTACTAAGGGCTCTTATGCTCCTTCTGGACGTTCCTGCAACCCCTAAGGAGCCGAACCGGCAGTGCTCTAAATAAATCTGACGAAGCGTCACCACGAACACATCGAAAAGAACCGAAGTCCGCTTGGTTTGTTGTAGTACAGCAGCCCAAATCCTCAAGTGGATGAACGCTGGTCGCCCTCATGGGAAAGCCCCACCCCCACCCCCTAAACTTAAAGACTCGATCCCTACGCCTGAAGCCTTGGAACCCAGAACAAGAAGCGTAATCCCAACACCTCAGACCTGAGGGTAGATGCACACGACCTCGCTATGAGGTACGAGCTCATGGCCTTGCGTACGCCTTGGGAGGACGAGGTTTCGAGCGAGGGTTGAGCCGTTTATGCTTGAGGAGTTAGGGTCGTAAAGTGTGTCGTAGAGCTTCAGAGCTCTTTGGATGTGAGCTTGAAGCATACCCTTCAGTCTTCTGAATCTGGCGGTGTTGTTGCTTACATTATGCTAACCCCACTTGAAGTTATGATATCGTGCACTCTCTTGATCCCGCTGCATCTGTGCCGCCTGTCCCCGGTGACCCTCGAGATCCGCAGGCCCGAAAACTCCCAGATCCGCCAGCCCCTGCCAGCACGCCGTGCGGCTTCTGGAGAAGATCCGGAACCAATCCTTGCGACCACCGCCGAAGCAGTGCCCTGCGCAGGGTTCCTGTTGGCTGGTCGAGGTATATGGATTTTGGTTTTGGGGTTCTGCGGTTTGGTGGCTTCGCGTGGCTAGTAGGCCTTCAGGGATTTAGGGTTTTCGAGTCGAGTTCGGGTTCAGACGCACGCCCCGACTAAAGTCATCAGTGCGCGGACATACTCCGGTTCGAAGGCCCATCCGATCCGGCTTCGGGTTTGCTGGGTCACGGTTCAGGGTTTAGGGATTGAGCTTTGATGGATGTGGGGCAGCTTCCACGACCAAGCGCCGCCCAATTCAATCTGTCTCAAGTTCTGCCAGGAGTGTTAAAAGTTCCTAAAGCCTTCAACCTCTAAGCCAGCCGCCTGACCATAATATTAACCGCAAGTCCCACATCTCCAAGAGTTTCGGGGGAGACTTCGTAAATGGATTGAAGTATCTACCCTGCTGGTAGCAAGGCGTCAGACTCGCGCACAGCTCGACTTGAAAACCCTTCATCCGACGCGTAGAACCTAAAACCCTATCATAGAAGTCTAGAAATCTTCGATAATGTTGGTAGTAGCGGGTTGGAGTACAGAATTTCGCTCTGACGCAGGTATTCGGAGGAGCTTACCTCGATCTGCTACGCGATGCTGAAGTCGCAGCCTCAAATCCCCATCGCTTGAGCGCCTAGGTCCTAGGTTTCGAGTTTTTTGGGTTTTAGAACTTGAACGAAGGTTGCTGCTGGACAGTTTTGGAGTTTTCAAGTTTTGGCACGTTTCCCCTGGGGTGCAGAGGGTAAGCTTTCCCTCTCAGATGCGTCTGTGTTTTCTTCTGATGGTTTCCATCATCGCACGTTTCGAGTTCTCGTAGAGCTCGCAGTTCACTTCGCAAAAGACACCAGCAGTGCACAAAAACGTATGACATCCGACTTAAGACCAGCAACATTCGTCGACAGTCCGCCCTACAGCCTTAAAGAGCTTGAAAAACACAACGCTCACAACCTTTAACCTAAAACCCTAAACTCCGCAACCTTTGCAACTGTATAGGGCCCCTCGTTTAAGGCAACCCTTAAGCCTTCACGAGGGTGGTTGTCAAAATTATGGCCCCTTTTTGATTTTGGATCCTTAAAATAGTACGGCACCTGATATTCAGGGTACCCCAAAAAGGGAGCATCATTTTGATCACTACCCAGACGAGCCTCTTTGAAGCCTTTCCGAGGCGGGAGCCGCCGGGCCGCGCCACGGCCGAGGAGCTCCTCCAGCGGCCCCTGGTGCAAGCCAGGAGCCACTTTTCACGCAGGGGCTAAAAACAAAACCTCCCAAACCCTAAGAAAAAACGATCCCAAATCCTAGAAGCCCTACAGAAGGTTTGAGGGTGTAAGGGTCTAGGGTGTCCGGGGTTCTTAGGGTGTTTAGGTCTCTCCCTTTTTGAGTTTCACTGGAAGATTTGGGATCTTTTTTGCTTTGGGTCGGTTTCAGGGTTTGGGACTTGGGGCCTGGGGGGGGCCTTGGGTGTTAGGGTTCAGAGTATTGGATGTCGCTGTAGCTCAGGCTTTCGAGTTGCGAGGTGGCGCTTGCCTGTGCTGGGCAGGCAACGCAGCCCACGCCTCTTTGGCCAAGGGATCTTCAGAGGGTTTAAGAAACTGCTCCTGCTGCCTCCGTTCTTGAAGCCCGGAAACAGGATCGTGTCGTTGCTGGATGTGGAGCTGGACGATGCGGCGGCAGGCTCGATGTGTGCCCACTGCGTTCAGCAGCCCAGCTGCTTGAATGGCATGCGAGTCTCAAAGCATAGGCTTGAGTGGAATATTACGGTATCGATAGCTTTCGGTTTGGTAGCCTGCCGGTGGCTGAAGCTACCATGTAATTTGGGTGTCCGGAGCTCTGAAGCTTATGCCCATAAAGACCAGGTGCCAAGAATGAACCCTATGCCTTAAATCCTAAAACGTACACCTTAGAGCCCAGAAGTATGAACTGTGTAGCAGCACTGAGTCGCGGTTATTATGCATTGTCGGTTTCCTTCATTCCCCGAAATGCACACCCTGCACAGTGTGGCCTCCGCTTGAGAAGGTTCCTGGGGATCAAAAGTAGGTCTGTATGGCTTTCGGGGTGTCAGAATTCAGAGTGGGCAAGCATGCGGGTTCATATCTGGCTGCAGGTAGGGTGCGTAGTCCTTCAATAGATCTTACACGTAGCGATACAAACCCACCTACAAGAATCTCAGGTTCGCTCAGGAGGCACCGCACCCGAGCCCTAAGCTTCGAACTCACCGAATCCACAACCTGCCTTGAAGCCCGAGCTCTAAACCCCGCAAAAGGGCTTCTCATAATTTCAGAGACCTTCAGCTCAATGCCGTATAGGGACCGCTCAATGAATATGCACTCCATTGCCTAGGGAACAGCTCCTCGGATAGGGGACGTGGCTCATGGTGAAGATAGATGGTGCGCTGAAACAGGGCTGGATGCCGTTCTCTCGGGTGGCAAAGCAGTTGAAACGAGACGACGGTGCTTGGCCGGGGGAGCCTCCATCCCCGAGAAAAATCATGCCAGGTGTCGTCGGAGCTCGAACAACGAAACCCGAAACGCGAAGTCCCAAAAGCGGGCCCGAGGGAGCCTGGTGGGAAGTGTACATCGAGTAGCAGGTCCCAGCGACATGTCCGTGTATTTATGTACACATGGATAGTGGTTTTTGTTGCATAAACTTTAGACATACATGGTTCGCGAGACTGGCAAAGGTCAGATATGGGGCAAGGATGTATGCGGTTTCAGCGAAGTGGCTGCTTGTTGTTTCAAAAAGCTCCCACAACCTCCAACACCAATGGTCTGGCTAGGACTCCCTGTATAGGAACCATTTTCTAATTGTGAAGGCCCCCTTAGTTCCCGGCTAAAGTTCTTCAATACGCACCTTTATTGAGCCAAAACCGCCGGAAGTCACAACCCGAAAATCTCGACAGGTGGCGCGGTCCCGGCTCAAGCTCTGTGCTGGAACTCGGCGGAGGATTCCGGCCCGAGGCGCAGCGTTCTTTGGTCCGAAAACCCTGTGCCAGGCACCAACAGTCCCGGAGCCAGAAAACCTGAACAACCCCAACCCTTCGAGCCTAAACCCTAAACCCTTGAAAGCCTCAAGAGCCTAAGCTTTGAGCCCTGAACTCCTAAATCCATAAAATTCCGTAAAGTCCCAAAGTCCCCGCATCCCCCAAAGCCCAAATGCCCTGAGCCTTCGCAGGTCCAAGGCCCTGGGTTGGCCAAGGCGCAAAGAGCGGCCACGGATCGAGGCTCTCTGCTACGGATCTTCTGCAGTTTTAGTTTTTGCTACGGATCTCTGTCATGATCTTTGTTTTTGGAAGGGGGGGTCTTTGGGGGGTGGGTATGCATGTGTGTGATTTTTGGAGAATCTTCTGGAGGGTCTGGGGACTAAGGTGAGTTCTCATTTTTGAAAGGGCGCTTTAGGCTTTTAGATGGCAGGACTCGGGGTTTGAGTGCTTGAGCTGTTGGGGCTTGGTGTTGCGTTGTAGGATTTCGGGATTTGCGGGAGGAGTTGGAGTTCCTGTGTGGAGCAACGATCGTATGGTTCGGATTTCAGGGGCCAAAGCAGGCGTCTCTGGTTGCAGGAAGCTCCCATGAGGAGTCGGGGGGCTTGGGTGCTGCAGCATTCGATGCTGAGGTTTATGGTTCACCGTCGGGAATGCGACGTTTGGCATTGACGGCCTAGAGTTCAGAGTTTAGGGTTTGGAAGTTGATGTTTTGGTTTGAGGTGTGTAAGCTGAGAGAATTACTGTATGAAGGACCTACTCATCAGAACCGATGTTAGGGTCTTGGTGAAGGTCGCTTCGGCCATTTCCTATCGCTGTCGGGCCCTGGTCTGTTGTTAGACCAAGGCAGAGGACCTTAGAGAAGCAGAGACCACGGCAAAGACCGCAGTGGAGGTCACCTCCAACCCCTGAGTTTAAGATTCAGAACAGCAAACCCAAAACCCGAAACCCAAAACTCAAAACCTCAAGGGTGACGAGTTCTCCACAGCAAGAAGTCTCCACAAGGTCCGATCGAGAAGGGGTAGTCTCGCCGCAGGGTCGTCTTACGGTTGTAAAGAACGAAGCACAAAAACCCCAAAGCCCTAAAGCCCTAAGGCCTTAAAAGCCCTAAAACCCTGAAGCCCTAAAGCCCCCTAAACCAAAATCCCCGCACCGTTTGGCGCATTCCCATGTCGCCTCCTTCTGGTCCGCTTTGGCTCTAAGCTTTGCAGTCTGGCAGGGCCGCCAAGAGCCCCTGAGCCCAAGAACCCTAGAGCCCCAACCGCTGCAAAACCCCTAAGCCCTAAACTCCAAACTCTCTCTCGGTGAGAGCATAGGATTTGGAATTGGTGCTTTAGTTGTCAACATCAGTGGGGCGAAAGGTATTGCCCTTGATCCCTGAATGTTAAACCTGCAGTGTCCTACAGCCCAAGCCATCAACCCGAAACCACCAAAGGCTCTCTCTCCCTGAGAAACTGGCCTTTACGAGGGTAGTGTTTGCATTGTAATATAGAGGCCTAAGTATTACCAGGACTATCGTGGGGTACAGTATAATATCACCCAAAACCCTATTCTAATTATAAAAGCTCCTATATTAGCATTTCTCGCCTGGCTTTCGGCCTCTTTGTACATAGCTTTTCAGCTGCGAGCCTTGGTTCAACTCGAAGCTCCATGGGACAATGCCGGAGCCCCAGCAGGTGGCCCCGTTTTCACTCATGTTCATCTTCGGGGTCTTTGTTTGAAAGCTTCTGAGAGGAATCTTTGGATCTAACGAGTATCGAGAGGCAGGCCTCGATTAAACTGGCCCTTCGGTGGTAGCCAGGGTTGCGGGCCCAGCTACTCTTTCTCCCAGGGCCCCAACCCTCGTCGCCTTCCAAGGTTGCCCAGGCGTTGGGCCAGGCAGGAGCAGAGCTTCGTGCATGCAGATGCAAGCAGGACTTCAGGACTTCAGGCATGTCGCTTGTGCGAATGCTGGTATGGTTGAGGGGTAGAGCGAGGGAGACAGAGTGTGTGCATACAACGACATCATCATTACCACCACTTTCATCACGGTCTTCTGAAGAAACCTGAGGCCCTCAGTCGAAACGGCCGCGATTGCTCGTCTATTTAGCAATTTGTCGGTGCATGCTGGAGCCCAGGTGCCGGATCAGTACAACTGAAGCTGTCGAAGACTCTCGGTCGCAAAACCGTAAAAGTTGCAAGCCGTAAACCTCGTCTCTCTGACCCGAAATCTTTACGAAACCCACGAGCCCCCGAAGCGGCTTCAGCGGTGACAGGCCGCATCTACGAGGCACTCCGCCCTCGGCTCGGAAGCGCAGACTATGGCTTCTTGCTGGCTTCAGGGCTTTAGGACAAAGCACCCCTTCAGAGCCTCGAGTGTAATTCAGACTTTTCGCTTTCACGGTGCAGACCTGCAGAACGAAACCCTTCACCCTGAAGGAATCCTAAAGCCTGAGCCCTAAATGCCCGTGTAAAGGCAGAAGCCCCTGAAGTTCTCTGAATCCGAAGCTCAGAGACCGAAGGCGAGGCCACCCTGGCGCGGGCAGTCAGTCCCATGGACCTGAGCATCTTGGCGAAAGCCGCATCGTAGCGGGGGCGAAGGGCTAAATGTACAAGAAGGGGGGCTACCAGAAGGGTTATTGTACCATCAGGATTGCTACAAAAGGGCCTTGAGAAATTCTAACGGTAGCAGCAAGGTTCGGGGCTTTGGGTTTGCGGGGTTTAAGCATCTGGGCGTTCACCAGCGCTGAAGCAGAGATGGGTTCCGTGTTTCGGTCTCACCATGGCAAAGAGCCGCAGAAGCCAAGCATCGTCGCGCCCGAGGCGTCTTGCGGCTCAACTTCGACCCATCCAGGCGGCCGGCGAAGGAAGAGGGTAGTAACGGATAGTACAGGGTATTCTAGGGGTATCATTGGGTATCGTAGCGTATTACTGAGTACGAAGTTGTCGGGTCTTCGATTTCTGTAGGGTAGTATAGGGTAGTATAGGGTAGTAATCCCCCCCATCCCTTTTCCTAGGGTATTACCCCAAACCCTGTGACAGCCTCATAGTAACCTTATGGATCCCTTTTAAAGGAAGCCCGGGAACCCTAAACCCCAACCTTTCCCTTTCATAGGGTAGTATAGGGTAACACACTCTATTGCAGGATAATGACAGGATAGTACAGTAGTTCGGTGTTCCTTTAGAATAGTAACCATAAGCCCTATAGGTTTTTATAGGTTATTATAGGTTATTAGAGGTTATTAGAGGTTATTAGAGGTTATTCTTTAGGGGTCTCGTAGCGACAGTTTTTTCCCTGTCCGAGGCGCTTCCGGCGCGTCTACCACCTCGGCGCGCTGCTCGGCGAGGGCAGCTTCGGCTCGGTGCCGGGGCACCCGAGCTGACGAGGGCTCTCGGAAAATGGCCGTGTTAGGGCCTTTTAGGGATTTTAGGGGTTTTTTAGGGGGCTTTTAGGGGTTTTAAGGGTTTTGACGGGGGTTTTAAGGGTTTTGAGGGGTTTGGTGTTTCGGGCTCTTAGGGCTCTTAGGGGTTTGGTGTAGGGGCTTCTGAGGTTTCTGGAGTTTAAGGTTTAGGGTCTAGGAGTTGAGGGTTTCGGGTTTAGGGTAGGGGGCTGACGAGGCTTCTATAGGTAAGGGTTACAGGGTTCAGGCTAAAGAAGGAGAGAGGGGAAAAGGGTTTGGGCTTGGAGTTAGGCCTTGCCCTAAACCCTATTCGATAAGGGCCTACCCTTCATGCTGCCCAGGTGCTCATGCACACGCCGACTCACCGGTGAGGTCGGCAGCTCAAACAAGGAGGGAGCACGGTTCGGGAGTGAACATTGAAGTGTTTACAATTCCGCGTCCACGGTCTTTCTCTGACGTACTGCAGTCTGGTCTACTTGAGGTGCAGTGTGTGACTGTGGGCATCCGGGTTTGAGATTCCATGGTTTCTGGGAGCACCAGAAATTTAGTTCGGCAGAGTTCCTTCTTCAAGCCCCCTTTGGGAAATGCTGCGAAGTTGAAAGACCGCGGAAAGCAACCTGGTGCCGCCACGGCCCAAAAGCCCAGGGTGCAAAGCCTATGCTCTAAATCCGCAACTCTAAACTCTCAGCTCTGAAATGCGAAGCTCGTAGCCCGAACCCAAAGCAACTGAACCCAAAGCAACTAAACCCTTAGCCTTGAACCCAGGAACGGGCTGTGAAGCAGCTGCTGAAGTCCCGGATGAAGGCGCGCCCGTTGTTGGGCTGTGTTGAGCTTCGCCTCTGCAAGAGTCTGGTTTTCTTTACGGGTTCCTTGAAGGGCACCAGCAGTAGAAGGGGCTTTCATGGTAGAGAAAGGAGTTTATTTAAGGGTCCATTATCGGGCGCTGTGGGGCTTTGTTTAGGGCCACCATGATGGTTGCTCGGAGTACTATAACGGTTCCTTTACTGGTCTAGAAGGGTGTTAGGGCTGAGAACCCTCTTTCGAAACACGAGCCAACTTCACAGAAGGTATATCGGTATCTCATATGTCTACTTGGCTGAGCAACTGGATCCGATCAGATGTGCTTGAGAACGCTTTTCGCAGGACGAAGCTCTATTCAAATTATTGTGGCCTTACAGTAGCCCATGAAAAAGCCCATCGCAAGATGCCTGTGACACCCAAAGCCGTTGAACCCAACACCCTGAACCCCGAAGCTCAAACCCAAAACCCGAAAGCCTGAACCTTTACTCCCGACCTCAAACCCCAAACCCTATCCCCGTTTTGCGGATAGGAAAAAGGTGTTCCAAAATAAAACCTTAAGCACTAGACCTAGAAGCCCCTTCTGAGGACGGCGGTGAGGATGTGCTGAACGAGTTAGAGATTCTCGCCACGCAGGGCTGCCCAAGGGAGTGGTCGAAGAATCGAAGAGATCGGAGACATGGGGCTTTTGATAGACCAAATATACCACATTTTTTTCAGGGTTTAGGGCTTCAGGGCTTGGTGGTTCGGAGAAGTGCAGGGGTTTTGAGATCTTGGGGTCGAAGGCCCCAGGCCATCCGAGCCCCGAGCTTGAGATGAAGCCCCGAAAGCCGTTCATCGGAGCCTCCGTTGCATGAGCTATCGTCCAAGATGCCATGGGGCATGAAGCCCTGAGCCCTTGACTTGATGTCTGTATGGGTGCATGGATATGCATGTGAAGCGTGAGTATGGATGCGACGGGGTAGAGGGTCCGCGACATCAGCAGCGTCACGGAGTCATTGCAATCTGGCAGGACAAAGCCAGAAGCCTAAAGACTGGGATTCAGGGTTCGAGGTTTGGGGTTTGGTTAGGGTCAGGAGGTTACGGTGAAGGGTTACTCGCGAGGCTCGACCACCCCAACGTGGTGAAGTTCTACGAGTCGGCGTCTCGGATAAGCCGGAGGGAGGGTAAGAGCATGGCTTTGGGACTTCGACCGGACGGAGCTTAAGATTAAGGATTAGGGCGCAGGGTGTAGGGTGGATTGTAAAATATCTTTCCGGCCGATCGGTATCAAGCGCCATTCCAAAGCGGTACTAGATCCTTGTCAAAGATGCCCTAGACCCCAAGCCTGTAGAAGCCAGGGCCCCAATCGCATACTCGTTCCAATTCGAGCAGGTTTTTCGAAGATGACCTGGCCGTGCTCGCCGTGACGGAGCTTTGTGGAGAGGCCCATGTTGAGTTGGAGCCTTGGGGTTGTTTGCTGTGGGGATGAGAGGGCACTTTTTCAGATTCGTGGTTGTATTTCCCTTCACATCTCAGTATGTTTGCAGTGCCACCACGGGACCGGCCGGATTCTACCCTCAATGCAAAGCCTTGAGCGCTGAAGCGTGAAGTCTAAGCTTCTCCGAGATGGATATTCTCGACTCCTACGGGCAGACGGAAGAAGTTGCTCAAAAAAGAGCTACCCAGCACCACCACCCCCAGTCCTCGTTTGGGGTCCCTTGGCCTTCGCGGCTTCCGCCAGGGTGACTTCTCGTCGCTGCTGCCCCGGGGCCCCGGCGAGGAGAGCTGCCCCAATGCGTTAGGAGCCCCGAAACTGAAGCCCTGAACTAATGGTAGGAGTCTTCATAATAATAATATGCAATTTGTATGGCTTTTTTTACCACATCCCCCAGGAACTTCGCGGTTTGCGGGTTTGGAGATTGTCGGTTGAGGGGTTTGGGTACTGTGCATTGCTATGTATCCAGCTCCCATATTTCCACGAATCCGCGAATCATGAAGGGCGCGTTGCCTTGGTCCACAGGTGTTCGCGAGGCCGTTTCGTTCGTGCATCTCTGCAGCCGCAGCCCTACATTCTTCCAGTAACTCCCGGACCCTCTGCACTGATCCCTAAAGCCCTTGCCCGTAGGGTGAAGATCCCTGACACCCTTCAAACCCTGAAACTGTGAGCCATCTTCAGCCATCCGACACCCTCGCCAAGCTCCCAGGAGGACGTAAGGCTCCTGCCCTGAGCTTGGCCGAGTGACGGTGGGTTTGCCTGATTTCCAAGGTCTCTAACCGTCTCCGTTTTTCATATTCAAAGAGTTTTATTAAGCTTTTCGATTGTGTCGGATAGGCTTACTTAGGGTGCCTTGAGGTTTGGAGCGGTTTGGAAAAGGTCGCGGAGCACCTTATAAAAGCAATGTTCTCTGCCTTTCATCCACGTTTTCAATCTGCGCCTATATATCCGTTCATTATTTCGTCTATCTGTTTGTGTACGGACCAACAATGAGCACATCTCCCAAATTCTACTCCGACTATGTAGGTACTGGGGTCAGTGGTTTGGTTCCTTATCTTGCTGTAGTGGTTCTCTCCTCTCTTTATTTACGCGACATCCGGCACCCAGCTTTTAACTCTCACAGCCCCAAATCCTCAGCCGGGACCCAGGAAGAAGAGACTTGAATTTAGCCCGAAGCCCTAATCCCCCACCACAGAGCCCAAAGCACAAAAGCCCATATCCGGGACCCGAGGTACAGGGATGTGATGCTGGGCCTGGCCTACTGCCACTCCTTCGGCATCGTTCATAGGGACCTCAAGCTTGCGAACTGCGCCCGCCCCTCAAGGTTTGGCCTCCGGAGGTGCAGGCTGTTTTGCCGATTGTGGGCTTGGACAGAGTTAACAGGTCGTGGAGCAGTGGCTTTGAAAGGCGTGGATGCCCCGTGTGCAAGGACGCTTCCGTGCAGGAGGCACCTCGGTAATGTGGTGGCCGTACTGGTCGGAATAGCGTCTTGGGGGTTCCTTATTGTAAGTAGTGTTTTACATGCCACCAAACCCTGGTCTTACTTTTTAAGGCTCCTGCATGAACTCTAGACTGTGGGATCCTCAGGTGATCGCCCGAAGAGGTCCACACGACCGAGCAGTCGCCAAGATCATCGACTTCGGCCTCGCAGTGCGGGCCTTTTCGGGGGGAGGGGGGGGGAGGGGTTTGGAGGGTTCCAGGTTTCAGGGCTCCTCTAGGGGCTTTAGGGTTTTGGAGTGTGCAGTAGGGTTGTCGGGTTTGAGGGCTTTAGGACCTCATGGTTTAAATATGCTTTTAGGTTGCAGGGTTTCAGGGGTTTAGGGTTTTGATTTTTAAATTTTTAGGATTTTCAGGGTTGGGTATTTAGGTCTTGATGGCGGGGGGTGCGTTTACTGTTAGAGTTAGATGTCTGAAGAGTTCTGAGGAGGGTTACCTATGTTTGAAAAGGCGGCTTAGTTTTTTGGTAGGGTCATCGCAACCTTTGGGTTTGGGGCTTGGGGGCTCCAGGGTGTTCGGGGCTGCAGCTGCAAAGTCGCTCGGGTGTCGGTCTGATGGGCCCCAAAATATTAAGGCCCCTATATTACCCCTGCCCCTCATGGCACAATCTGCTTTGGCTGTCAGAGAGTCTATGTCTTGGAGGGGTGGCGACCTCATCAAATTGTCCTGCGAACATTTCCGGTCCGTTTTGGTTGCCAGTGTGACCGGAAAAACTTCTGAACCCCGGCCTCCCATCGCATGTCACGCCTCTCTGATCCGACGCTGTTCGTGTGTCTTTCCCCTGTTTTTGGAAGCCACCCATGCGCTTCACATAAGCCCCTGTCTGGCGATGTCAGCCATCCTGCGAGCAAGGATGTCTTGATAAAACCAGAGCCCTGCCACACCTGACATGGAAACCACACCCTCGAGAGCTCTAGTGGAGGGGTCGCGGGAGGGGATACGAATGCTATTCCTCGGGGTTCCAAAATTCAAAAGCCAACTGTGCCTGTTCCCTCAAGAATCTGATTACTGCATTGTATCATATACCATGAAGCTACTTTTGAGCATGCCCCTGGGATAATATGGAAGCCTGAATAGCTGCCAATTTTATTCCTTAGCGTTCCATGTTATACTTATACGACAACATACCCGAGATCCATGTCTATCTATAAGGCCCCTATGTTGCATCCTCGACCTCCGGCTTATGCCTCCTTGCTCGTCGGCTCGAGGTTCTTCGCCGGGAGGAAGACTGCGACGAGGAGTGGCTCTACGAGGACCGGGCCTCGAATTTGGGGAGTTTGGGGATCGGCTTGCGATCCCGAGCCCAGTGTTGCGACATTCACCAGATTGGCTTGAGAGCCTTTGTGAGAGCCGTGCAACAAACCTTGAGCCCTGAAATCCCTGGCCCTGAACCCTAAACGCTTAAGCTGAAAGCTCTAAACCCGAAAACGCCCATAGCCTTGAGCCGGAAAGCCGGGCAGACTTGCGGCACAGCCGCCTTCCAAGCCCCAGAGGCCCCTTGCGGCTGGGGGCTCTTCTTGCTCTTAGTCCGGTTTCGGGGTTAGGGATTTGAGGGTTTGGGCGTCGGGGATTTTGAGGTTTAGGGCTTTGGGAACTGGAAGTTTTTTGTGCCTTGATTTTTGGCGGGTCTGCGGTCAGGACGGGGGGCTTGTGGGTTCAAGTTGTACTGGGGATTTTGCCTCGAAAAAGGCTCGGGGTTCCACAGTTAAGTACCTGGTTGAGGACTTTGATATTTGGTGTCCAGACTTTCGGGATTGTCTGGGAGGATTTAGGCTTGAAGGCTGTGGTCTTAGGGGGGCTTAGGGTTTGGGCAGAACTTTCGCGATTGAGCCAAGGTTCAGACGTATTCCGACGGTCGTCGAGACGTAGGGTTTCGGGCCTTTCGGGCGAAGGGGCTGTGGGAGCCTGGCTGAACTGTCGATGCCAGGTCCGCAGCCTTGAACAGCAAGACCCCACCAGGCCTGAAGCCCCGAACACCCCGAAAGAACCTAAGGAAAAGCTCCTCGAAAGCCCTGTAGGACCGTAAGCCTAAACCCCGAAACCCTAAAACCTCGGGCCGTCGAGGCCCCTAAATCCGAGCCCCTGAATCCTTCCACAGGTCCTCCAGCGAAGCTACGGTGAGAAGTGTGACATCTGGCCGGGCTCCTCGGGTTGTGCTTCAGGCTTCGAGATGTGACCGGGGCCTTTGTCCGTAGGATCCTCTTTTGCTTTCGGGTTGACGTTCTAGGAGTTGAAAGCCCGTGACGCGAGTTTTGGAAGTCTCGAGGTGTCGGGTGTAGGCCTTAAGGCTTACGGTTCGGGTCGTGGGCTGTTCAGTGACGTGAACCGCGGCACGGAGCCCCAAGCCCTACAACACTTACAACTTCTGAACCCTCCAGCCCCAGCCATCGCAAGACCTGAACCCGAGCCTTCCCACAGGTCCTTTGGCATCATGGTCTTGATGCAGGTCAAGGCTCGAGAGCTTTGGCAAGAAAATTAAGACCCCAACCACCGTGCAGTGATGTCTACGTGAGTATCTCAGTATTTGCACAATACAGAATCCCCAGCGATGTGAGATATCATTGCATCAGTCTACACTGAATTGTAGCCCAAGGCTTGTTGAACTTATTCAGGCCCGAAGGTGAACTGTAGTAGAACGTGATCGTGCGTTCATGCACGGCCTAGTTTAATTCCTTGCCTCACATCTCAAGTCCCTGTAAGTTCCCCATATAAACTGGATTTTAGGCCGGGCATTCTCTATACTGGTTGGGCTGTGGACAGTAGCAGGCCGTCAGGGGAGTCAGTTGTTGTAGAGCAAGGCGCTTTGCACTGCGCAGCCTGGCTTTCAGAGAAGACGGCATCTTGAAGCAGAGGTAGGTTACGGGCCGTCAACCCTGAACACCAACCGAATCAAAGCCTAAGCTCGAAGCTTTGAGCCGGAAAGCGCCCACAAACCCCACCATAAAGTGGCAGGGTTCGGACATCGACCCTGTCCAGACGGCGAGCCGGTGCGATCCCCAGCTTTACGGCCGCATGACATCGTGCCCTGGTACTCTGATTCCCACTCCTCCTGAGCCACGACATTCTGTGCATGCCTTGCGAACTGCCTTCAACCTGAAAGCCCGAGACTAAGTCCGAAGGCGTCGAATCCTGAACCTGAGCCCTCTGAGCCCTTCAACCCGGAGATGCAAAGCCCGGAGGAAGGCCTCGCAAGGTGAAATTCGCACGTACAACCCGAAACCCATGGAGCCGCTACAAGACCCTCGCTGAAGCCTTCTCAAATTCCCTTCGAGGCTTTTACACAAGCTTTGGAACCCTGAAATCTCAGAGGTCCGAGCGCTACGAGAAGCTGGAGCTGTACCTGGACCCTGGAGTCTAAGTAGTCTGGGCGTTGGAGTGATAAGTAAGGATACCACATCTTTAATCCGTACATGAATATTCCAACTAGAATCCTTGTATGATATTCCCATTCGAATCCTCGCATTATGAACATTTCTCTTGGGTTTAAGGGCTTTCGGATTTTGGGGTGCAGGGCTTAGGGGTTCAGAGGCTGGCTAAGCGGCTTCAGGGTCGAGCTTTTGGGGCGTTCGTGGGTGAGTCGTGGTTATGGGCTTGTTGGGGTTTGGCGCTCAGCCACTGTATCTGACGGACAGCACGGAGGCTCGACAAGTACGGATCTATGCTGGAGATAAGCCGGGACACTGGTATCTCTTTAACTTCAAAAGCCTAGACCCCAGCCCCGCACCCTGGATTTGACATTGACCCCCAACCCAGAATCCTGAACTGCAAACCCTTCTGCAACTGCAGGACGTGATGTCCCAAGAGCTGGGGGGCAACAAAGCATTCCGGCTGGCCCGCACCCAAGGAGAGACACGTCTTTGGTTTAGGGTCTACGGGTTTAGGGTGAAGGGTGTTGGGGGTTTGGGGTTTACGGGTTTGGGGTTTAGTATATCAGGTTTAAGGGTTTGGGGTTAAGGGATTGGGGTAAGGGCGTTAGGGTTCGGTGTTTGGGTCTATCAGAGGATTTCGGGGCTTTGAGCATTCGCATGCGAACTCGACGGCTTTAACTCGTAGAGCCGTAGAGGTTTGGATTTGCGGAGATCTCCGGTCCTTCGGACTTCCATAAGATGGTTGGAAGAGCTTCCGATGAAAAGTCTGAAGCATTGTGCAAGAGCTGCCCCGGCGTATCGCAGCCTGCGTGGCCAGGTGCTGCGTCAAAGCCTGATAAACATGAAGAGACCTAAACACCTTAGCCTTTGAACTCAACGTCAATCAAGAATTGAAGAACCCCGCACTAGACCCAAACCTGTAAACCTTTATGTGCCAATGCCTAGATCCTTCCGAGGCACAAAGACTGCTTTGCCGGGATGTGGCGCAGCGACCCAGTGCGCAGGCATCGTCGGAGAGCCTTTCAGTGTGGTTTTTGGGCTTCGGATTTTTGATGCTGCAACACACATGAGCGAGAGTCCAAGAGCCCTTAAGGCCTTTCCTGATTTCGATGCATACTTTGAGGAGCTTCGAAGCATGTGAGCAGGTTCATTGTGTTTCTAGAATCTCGGAGGGAGTGGTGCCTTGTCGGGAGGGTTGAGGTTTACAGGTTCCAGGTTTCGGAAATGGTGCCCGCACAACACATGTAGCACTAATGGCGGTAGCACTGAGACCATGCCTAGTAATGGCTGTAGCAGCAGGGATGCCAATAATGCACTGGCGTTTACAGGTGCAAGCATCATAGTCTGCATGCGAGTACTAGTTCGCACACTCATGTTCATCGCATTAGCAGCAGTAGTAGTGCAACAACCAAATCAGAGAGCACTGTCCCATCTTCATACTACAGAAAACCACACCACGCCCTGCAAGCCACCAGAATGGGGTTCCACCAGAACACGCTGTACAAAGTGTTGGAAGACTCGTTTGCCAGGCAGAGCAACAAGTGTCTTATACAGCCTTGAAGAGAGGCCGCATCTAGCCAACAACTCATCAGCAAATCTTACAGTGCCTCAAAGCCAACCAACTCTGAAACCCAAAGCTAAAACCCCTAAACCTTGCAACCTAAACCCCTGATCCCCCACACCAAACCCCTATAGCCTAACACCCTCAAGCCTTGAACTCCGGCACACGCCCGATGAAATCCGTAACATCCTACCTTTAAAGGAACCTTTAAAACGCAACCTTGAAAAGGACCCCTTAAGAAAATCTAAAAGGCAGCTCTGGAGAGTTCGTGGCTCCGGCTCGGGCCACCCAGTGCTCCGTGTGGTTTCGTCCGGCTAATTCGGTGGCTTAGGGCTTTAGGTAATACGAACCTAGCTTATCGATTGGGTTCTATATACGGGACTTGGGGGCTCTTCGACAAGAGTGTTTTGGCTTTACCGCTTGTGTTCTGGTTGGATCGAAAGCGCAGGAACACGGGGAGCTGTGCTTCAGAGTTTATGTGTGAGAGAGCCTGGAGCACGTCGTGTTTTTGTTTTGATGCCGTTGGTGAGCTTCTGTTTGCAGCTTCGCTCGCGGGGGTTCGTCCCCCGAATCGCGATACTGGTGCCAACAATGCTAGGACAAATGACAGTCGCAGTACACACGTGAATACGGTAGCATCAAGGGTCAGCCTTTGACGAATGCTATCAGTATCAGTAACCGGAGCAATGGCCATGTTAACGAAGTTTCGTCCCGAGTCCAGACTTCCAGCTTCCTGAACTCAAGCCCCCCGCCCCGCTTTTTATTCCCGTTAAACAGGAAACCTTTGGGGCTTTAGTTGGCTGCAGCCTTTGACACCGTAGATCCAAGGCGAAGGGCTGAGGGTTGCTTGGAGACTTGGGCCTCATCTCTGTCGCCTTCCGCCCCGCAGTCCGCCAAGCGTCCGAGCTCAAGAGGCTGGGCGTGAAAATCAGGGCAGCTCTCTGAATTGATGAGGTTAGAAGTAATAGAACGTACAGGCAGCGGGGGTAGTTTCCCAGATTAGGGTCGCACACAATCATCGGACAACAAGGAAGCCTGAAGGCAGAGCGTAAAGATGCTATCATCATCATCATCATCATCATCATCATCATCATCATGGTAATCATCTCCATCCACCTGATGCTTATCAGCATCCGCATCCTCATCCTGATCCGCATCCTCATCCTCATCTGCCAACTCTTCCTTCTCATCACAATCATCAGTGGCAACATCACCAGCATCGGCATCACCAGGATCAGATTGGGGGGGAGATTAGAGTTCGGGGCAGCACTCAGCCCTGCTCAGCCTCCGCATCTGAGCCCTGGGCCCCAAATTATGATTTGAGAAGGCCAGTGTAAGGAGCTGGCTCCGATTGTCGTGGTTTCGGGTTTTTGAAGACTTTGCATTGCTTTGAGGTTTTGGGTTCTGGAGTCTGCAAGGCATTGGCGTCGGCGTTTTCGAGTTTAGCTGCGTTGGGAGTGCAAAAGATGTTCTATCTCGTGCAACAAGCACCTTCTTACCCCCCCGAGTACTTTAAGGCAGTTTTCCCAGCCTCAGAGGCAGCCCCAGACCGCCTGACCCGCAAGGCGGGTTTCGCTTTCGGTTCTATGAGGTTCTCAGGGGGTTGGAGTTGCAGGTTTAAAGTTTAGGGCTCGTAAGTTTGGGTTTGGTGTTTCTGGCCAGAGGTGGGTCGAGGTTTTTGGGATCTAGGGCTTGGGCTCGGATTTTTTTGAAGGTGGGGCTCAGTGGTTGCAGGGTGTTCCGGGTTTCTGTTGGGTGTTTCGGGAGTTTTTTTTGTGTGTTTGAGTTGAAGGGTTTGGTGTTTGGGAGGTTGGGAAGCTTAACATTTGTTTTTCCTTGGTTTAGGCTTGAATTTGTCTAGTCGGTGCTACCGTTGGGTGAGCTGTTAGCTGTCAGGTGTAAAGGTTGCTATACGGGCTACTGGAAGGACTACTATAGCGGTTCTACAATGGAACGGTGAAAATTTCAACTCATCCCGTGGCCGTTGCAGCAAGCGAACAGGAGACGAGATGAAGTATGAAAGGTGACGCTCAGTCTTCATCAGACTGGAAGCATGACTTCACCAAAGCTGGTGGAGCGGGTTCTCCGAGTCGTCGATCATGAGGCGATCGCTTGATGCTGGCAGATCTTGAGCTCTGATGAGTCGGCTGAGGGGTCCGCTGTAAGGCTTCAGGAAAGCTTGCCAAACAGGGTTCTGAACCAGGGCTATAGAAGCGGTTGAGTGCAAGGGTTCTATAAGGTTACTCCGAAGGGCCCTCTGTGGGTTCTATGAGGTTTAAGGCTTCCTGTTAAGGGTCTCAGCACATCTTCGCTCATCCTAAATCGAAAGTGCCGGGAATCCTGTGCCTTAAATCCTAAACCCTAAACCCTGAAGGCACTGGATTGCCAATCGTCTCGTGGAACGCTTCCAACCTTTTGGAGGGGCGGGTATTTGGTTAACCCAAGGTTCGGGAGCTCCAGCCTTCACCAAAATACAACCATATTCGGGGGAAGGTAATCGACCGAGGCTTTCCTCCTAACCTGCAGCCCGGAGCCTCTCCAAGCAGCCCGCAACCCAGAACGTTGAAGCCCGAAGACCCGAATGTACGTAACTATGAAGCACGAAGCATCTGAAGCCCTGCAGCCCTACATAAACCCCCCAAACCCTCCGAAACCTTACGCAATCCCGTTTTTGTCGAGAACCACATGAAAATTTGGTGAGAACCCATTTTTTTTAATTTTGTTGCCCTTCAGCCGTAGGACCGGAGCTATCTGCGCCGAAGCCTCTCGGCCTTCGCGAAGCTCTCCCCCTTCGACAAGGCGAGCTTCTGCTTTGGCGCTGTCTCTCCGTGTGTGTCTGTGTTTTTTTTGGAGTTTGTAGGGTTGTTGCCTTCATGGTTTCCGTGGGGCGCTGGGGTGCCCCGGGTGAGGTTTGGAGTGGATAGCTTGGGAGAAACGTTTGTGCAGGTGAGAAGTTGGGCTCGTAGGGTCAAGATTTCAAAGTGTTGGCATCACCTTGATTGAGGGGGCTCATCGTCATCTTCTTCGGCTTCATGATCTTAATCATAGCCATCGTCAGAGGCGGAGGAGGAGGAACAGGAGGAAGAAGCAGAAAAGGAGGGGGAAGTAGGGAGGATGCATAGCGCTAGGAGGGCCTCGTCGTCGAAGTAGTTTGCAGCTTGACGACCATAGCGATCTCCGCTTAGATATCGTGAGTTCGACGCCCTTTACAGCTCTGGCTGGCTGCTTCAGGTGGTCCTACTCATGGCGTCGAACGCCTCGCAAGCTGCTCAGCATGCAGGGGATGGCAGGAACGAAGCCCAGATTCTGGACATCGCTGCGTAGTCTTCTCGAAGGCTTGAAGACAAGGATTTAGGGTAAGGTGAAGATTTCGATCCTGAACTGGTTGGAGGTTGCTGAGACAGTATAGATGGGGTTCGTCCGTTTGGTGCAAAGATACCAGAAAGCAGCTTAGAACTCTAAAGCTGGCCGAGGTTCCCAAACCCCACAACCTGAAACGTGCAACCCAATGGCACGGAGTTTCAACTTCTAGGTCGCAGAGTTCAAAGCCTTACGTGGCCAACCTCAAACCCCAAATTGCGCAACGCTTTCTCCGACACCCTCATCCGTGGGCCCCAAACCTGTAGACCCTCAACCCTAGACACCCTTGAAGCGTGAAGCCCTGAACTGGAACAACGCCCTGTAAACGCTACTCCAGACAGCAAGACTTCAATCGACCCTAAGCCGATTCACAAAGAGCTCTGGGAGAAATCTGGGCTCCCAAGGAGGTGTCATCGCAGCGACTTCTGCCGCAAGACCTCCAAGCTCTTCATGCCAGCCTCCCCGGGCAGACTTCGGATTCACAGTTTGTTAAAGAGGGGGGGATTTTATAGGGGCCGAAAAAAATTACCTATTCTATTTTTGGGAGTTCCTTATGATGACTGTAGTATATCGGGCCCTAAAGCCCTTTATTACAGTTTGTTAAAAGTGGAATACTGGTGTTCAAGGTCTTCGGCATCACGGTTTGGGAATTGGCCCAGGATTTACTTGAATAGAAGCCCGGATACTTCCTACGGTGTTCCCATCACAAGAACGGCAAGCCTAAAGAAAGTAATGACAGCAATAACACAACTTTTCAGAAGGAGATAATATTCGTAATATGAGCAACGAGAGTAAGAAGAGTGGTAAGAGTGATAGTCCTGGTAAGTATTGAAAAAGGTGGCTGTGGCAATACTGGTGCCACGAGTACTGCCGTTACTACCACTACTAACAACAGCAACGAAAGTCATAATGGTAACAACAGTATCACGACCCGGAAGCAGTAGCTTCGAGGGCTTTATCCCTCGACCGGTCTCGAAAACTCAACTCCTGAGCATTGACCCCAGCCGTTCCAAGCCTCGTGCACCATCCGCGGGTTTGGAGTTTGGGGATAGGAGCTCCAAGCCCAAAGTGTCAAACGATAACATGCTAGACGCTGGACTCTAGATGCTACAGTCCACACCCTCAAACCTTAGCCCGGAAAGCCTTAGGCCTAAAGCTTAAGCACCAGAAAAAGGTTTCTGGGTTTTGAGTTGAGGGATTTGCCGTTCACTCTGCAGGATTTCGGGTCGATGGTTCAGGACTGAGGGTTCAGAATCTTGCGTGTCCAGCGGTGTGAGGCCGTAGAAGCATCATCTGAGTGCAGCGTGTCGGTAAAGACCACTCTGACGTTGTGGCATTTTTAATCAAATATCCTGGTGTTTTGGCCTTCACATAATGCAATCTGAAAAATTTGGCCGCTTGGCGACCACTCTCAACCACAAGGGCCTATAGACCTTCCCTGAGCTTTGAAAGTTGAGAAGCCAGGACCCATAGCAGAACTCCCCATGGGAGCGCATGCATGTCAGTTTCGGGTAGGGTTAGTGCCTGAACCAGGCTCAACCTTGGGTTTCGGGCTGAACGGCTTTTTGGTTTAGCGGTCTAGGCATGTAGCCGACCACCCGGGAAGACAGGAGCACGGACACGGACAAAAGCGGTTTCCTCAACCAGGAGGAGGTGCAGCGTGCCCTTCCCCAGATTGTTAGCGCGGGCTGAGGGTTGGGTTCAAGGGTTTCAGGGTGTAGACCGTTTGCTTTTCAGTAGGGTTCAGGCTTTTGGGGAAGCTCTTGGCTCTTGGGTTTTGTTACAGGGATGCCGAAGATTGTGGGGGCACGGGGTTCTCGAATCGGGCGGTGGATTGAAGGGTTGGCGCTGCGTGTTTTCACTGGTCGGACATGAGCTTTGCGCCTTGCCTCATAGCACCAAACCGCTGATCTGCGATACTCATCCGCCAGCCAGCCTCTCTAAGGGATGTAGAAACAACAACTTCTGGAGCCTCCCAGGTGCACTGGCGGCCTGTGGATTGGAGGCCCAAACCAAAGAAGTTCAGGGCTGCTCGGTGCGTAGTAAGTCGATCAGCAGTAGGTTGTTTCAGCAGCGCAACGAGGTGTTATGCTATTAAACTCTTTGTCAAATTTGCCTGGAAGTGTCGTGTTGCGGCTCGTTTCCTTGGTCTCCAGGGTTTCAAGAATCAAGACTCTGGCTTGGAGAACCCGGTGCTCACGTGTGCGTGACTGGCAGGCTTGCATGCTCCGTACGTTCTGCAGGCAAGTCTTCACACCTAAGGGTTGACTACAGAGGGCAAGGATGAGAGCTAGAGAACGAGGGAAAATTCTACATGTCTCCCGACTGACCTCTCGCAAGCTTGCCATCTACAACGCGCGTTTTGCAAAAGCACTGATAGCAACGATTGGCTTTCCTTTGTTTGTACCCATCTTATTCCCCTTCTTCTCCTTCTTCTGGCACTTGTGATTTTGTTGCTAGGTATCATGCATGATTTTCGCCGGAGTCACGGTCATGGGAAGGTCATGTTCATGGTACTTGCCATCATGAATCAGCATCATGATTATGATGAGCTACCACTCTCATCAACGGAATCATCAGCCTCATGCTCTGGATACGCAACTTGCTTGATTGAGAGGGAAGGCAAGAGTCGAAACAGCAACACGTTGTGCATGGGTCTATAAGCCCTACGCACTGAGCCATTGAAACCCTTAAGCATTGCTTGGTAAACGGCACCCAAACCCCCGGGGCCTCAACGTCCCTAGCCATCGCCGTAAGACTCGGAGCCCAAACCCACGACCTAAAAGGTGGGATTCTATAGCCATAAATCCTGTGCTGACCTGCTCCAAACTACTCCACCAGAAGAGTTTGAATAACTACCCCAAGACCTTATGCTAGTGGACCTTAAGGTGCTTTTATGACATCTCGAGCTGAAGCGAAACATCGGTCTAGGGTTGCGCGGCTCTGGGGTTCGGCATTTCAGCATGCTAGGACCGTAGGATTTCGGGTTGTCGGGATTGGAGGGTTTTGAGGTTTGGGGGGTTTGAATTCAGGGCTCAGGGTTTCGCTTGAGCCCCTGTGAGACGAGCGCATTTTGCCCCAACCGAACCAGACCTACTCGTATGGAGCCGAAGGCAGACGAAGAGCAAGTTGAAGGCAGATGCCATTGGGTGCATTGGGGCCTCCATGCAAATTCCATATAGTAGAGGGCTAAACCCAGAGAGTAAATCGTGTTTTGGTATGTGATACAGCCAGTTTGTGTGAGCAACTTGTCAGAAGTGCTCGGGAAGAGTCTGAACGCCCAGGATTGCCAGAAACCTCACTTCTTTCTTGTCGCTACGGGTTTTGGTGTTACATTCTCGGGTTTAGTCTTTAGGATCTTTTTGCTGGAGGCTTTGGAGTTTGACACTTTGGATTTGGGGGGTTGGCGGCTTTGATTGCTTGAAGGATTGGGCAGGCGTCGTCTGCCGGGCTAAATGCTCCTTTACAGAATTACCCTGGTACGGCTAACTCTGAACTCTAAACAGCAGGATCCTAGTACTAAGTTTCCGCTCCTTCAAACACTGGCTCTAGGCTCCACTAAGGTCACCGTGACCCCGAAAAGCTTACCGAAAGACATTAACGCACCCTCAAGCCAAAAGGTTGGGACGTTTGAAGCAGAAGTGGTTTTTGTCGAATTTGTGCCCGTGACGTTTTGATACAGGAAGACAAGAAATCTACCAACTCCGACACCTTAAACATCCCAGACCCTCAATTTTGAAAAGATGTTTTTTTTTTTCAACTCCGTCTTTGCAGTATGTGATTTCTTTTGTGAGCCACGACTATGAGCATGTGTACTGTCGAAGCCTACTGCTGTTTTGCAGCAAAGGCTTGCTAAGGCGGTGCATGTCTTCTGGCGAGTGTTCTTGTTATACATGCTATCCCTGCTTCCTCTCTCCTCCTCCTCCTCCTCCTCCTCCTGCTACTCTTCCTCCTCCTCGACTTACCCAGGACCCGTCTTCCAAAACCCTCAGCATTTGAGACACTGCGGAGCAGATCAACCCTATAGCCCACACACTGGACTGCGTTTCTTTGCAGAACTCTGGCACGCCCTCGACGCAAGCGAAGACGGGCGCGTCACCCACAGCGAGTGGGTCAGCGCGGGGGCCCAGTTTGAAAGGCTCACAGGGTTTACTTGAAGTTTAGGGCTCTGGGCCTGGGATTCAGTTCAGGGTCCTGGGGTTTGGGGTTTCAGGCTTCGATTAAAAAATCGGTAAGTTTGGCTCTTGCCTGCGATTTGCCAGCGGAAGCTTCGAACCAGCCCTGGTCACCCGAACCGAAGGTAATCTGCTAGAAGCTGCGAGCCCGAAGCTTCGCCCTGCTCGCGTGAGCAAGGTCGTCATATCGGTTTCAGGTTTGGGGTTTAAATTAGATCTTAAATCCGAAGCCCAGGCCCCAAAACCTAAATTAGAGACTGCGCCCAAATTCCCAAACCATACACCCAAACCCCTGAACGCCCAAAACAGCGAAGCCTCCACGGCAGATGCCTAAACGAAGGTGCCACGATGGATGATAGCACGCTCCGGAGCAAAACCACAGCCAAGGCGGGCTCGGACTAAACTCGAAACCTGAAACCCCAACCCTAAAAGCCGCAGAAGCAGCAAGCTTTACACCCTGAAATGAAAGGTCAACAACTCTGCATGACCCTAAGGCCGCAAACTCCTAAGCGACATTGCTTGATGTTGGAACCTAGGGTTTTGCATTTTAGCATGTTTTAGGATCGATTTTCTGTGCTGAATGTTGTAGAATTTGGGATCTCAGGCTGGAGGGCACAGTGGTTTGGGATCGCAGTGTCTATAGGTGGGAGTGGTGTGTACTACGGCGGTGATGGGCAGCTGCTCGTAGCTGCATGGAGACATCCTCAGAGCCTACCTTGCGTTTGGATGCCCAGAAGTGTGAAGCGACAATGCTCCAAATCCGAAGCCCGAAAGCCACATCGAGACATTAGTCTTGAGCTCTCGTCTCTACTTCGGCAAAGCTTCAGGTGTGTGATTACGGGTTTCGGGTTGAGGATCTGGAGTCGCTGGTTTGGAGGTTAGAGTATTTCTGTTTCTGTGCCCCAAGTTGAGCCTGGAAGCTGCGGAAGGTTTCATCTTGTTCACCTAGACAGACACATGAATGACACTCTGACAAGAGTGAGCATGACAGATAAGACTGGGGGCTTGTAGAGCCCTGTAGTCGTGTACCGGGTCCTCAATCCTCGAAGCGTGGGCTGTGATGCTCCCTTGTTTTGATAGCATGAAACTGTAGGGGCCCACTACAATATATAAGTATCATAAAGAACCCCCCCCCAAATAGTGTAGGTTATTATTAAGGCATGTTCATTGAGCCTTTGTAGTGCCTTTAGGCCTGGAGCCCTAAGACTTCGAATGGGATGCAGAGGAGCTCTTCGAATGGCTCGACTTCGATGGGAGCGGCTCTGCCTCGCGGCGGCATGGGAGATTCGGATTTACTTTGGGGTTTCGAGGTTCGAGGCTGAGGTTTTGCGTTTGCTTCCCCTCAAAGTCCCTAGATCCCTACCTGACTACCTCGCAGACTAAAGTGGATACACACCACTCAGACATTCCCCGAGCCAAGACATAGGTAAATCAGAAGACGGCAGCCTATTGGATTCTAAAGTGGTAGAATAAACTTGAAGGATGCATGCCGTCATTGCTCTGTATTACTTCATGTCGCGTGGAAGTGGCTTAGGGTTATTTGCGGTTTACTTTGTAAATGTTCCATGTTAATGCACACGCATAGCCACATAATATCTATGGGCTTGAGAGTATATGCATGTGTGTATGTGTGAATTGTAGTGTGTACCTACTCTGTATATATCCTTCTCGCTCTCTCTCTCTCTCTCTCTCTCTCTCTCCCTCTCTCTCTAATGTATATATAAAATTTATGTGCACATGCATGGCCCTACTCACAGTTATTCTGAGGAATGTATGTTATGCTTGCGTGCATAGCATGGTGCTAGTCAGAACTAGTTTTTTTCTGCGACATACGTTCTACAGCATCCCCAAAACCACGGTATGAAACACCCAGGCCCAATGACACCCCGCTGTGCAAAGAAAAAACCCTAATCACCACTTTGGGGTTTAAGGTTTAGGGTTTAGGGTTGAGTGTTTAGGGTTTAAGGTGAAGGTTTAGGGTTTAGGGTATTTAGTCCCTGCGCAGGTGAGCCTTCACGAGCTGAAGAGGCTGGTCACCGACGAGGAGGCCTCGGAGGTCCAACTCCAAAGCGGCAACGGTTTGTTGAGTTTATTGCATAAACATATATATATATATATATATATGTATATGCCCTATACACATGTCGGTGTCTACATACATACATACATACATACATACATGCATTATTTGTGTATATATCTGTGTGTATATGTATCTGTATATATAACTATATGTAGATGTATATGTACATATGTATAGGTAAATACATATATATATATATATATATATGTATGTATATACACATGCAGACATGTATATTCAGAGATGTATGTATGTATGTATGTAGGCAGGTAGGTAGGTAGGTATGTATGTACATATGTACGTGTGGGCGTCTTGGGTTTCCAGAGGGTTTGCCAGCTTCTTGTTTGAAGGTTTTTTCGTTTGGCAGGGTTCCATTAAGGATTCATGAAGGTTCTTGTTTTGTTCATAGAGGGTTTGCAATTACCTTCTGTCAGCCGTGTTGATGAATGCAACACTGAGAGTACCAACAGGCATTGTCATCCTCATCCTCACCTGCATCATTAGCAACGTCAGATTAGATGGTAATGGTGAGACCACATAAAAGGGTAAAGTCCTGGGTGGCACGGAGTGCCATTTTAACATGTTTCCTTCCTGCAAAGGCAACGAGCTGCCCTAAACCCTAAGCCTGAAACTAAGGTCTTGGACTCTGCAGACAGTTCCGGCGACGGCCTCCTCAGCTTTGAGGTGCGGGATTCGGTTGTGTTGTTGACCAGGTACTGTAATCGACAATACTACCACGCAAGACAATACAATGCAAGGGTAAAAGCATACAATGTAATGTTAGCGTTAGGAGTATCGCTTAAGATGGGAGCTGGGAGCTTGTGAGCATTCGACCAGGTGCTCTCGTCTAGGTTCGGGGTGTAGGGTTTCAAGACAAGTATCCGTGCAAGACACGCATTGTCTAGTAGTTTAGACTTTGTGCTTCAAGCAAGACCGACGCTCCAAGGACCAGTGACATCACAAAGCGCAGAACAGAGACCCTCAACCTTCCGCCGAAGACCGTCGCCAAGTGTAATCAATGTATTGAACAGCACGGAGCACCCGGAATACTCAAGAACCGGAGCGTCTGGAGTTCCCAATCAGTCACACATGGGAGAGAATATAGACTGCATCAAAATTTCTCAAAACCTTGAGAATTGCAAGTCAAGCCTAATGCATGCGCACGAGGCATTTTCTTCCTTTGTCTGGCGCTTTACCCTATAAGCCCTAAACCCTAAACCCTATAAACCCTGAGCCCTAAACTTTAGAAGCCGTTAGCCCGAAACCCCACAAGCCCGAAGTCCCAAACCCGGTGGGACCCCAAACCCTATAAACCGAAAGCCCAAACCCCCATCGATATCCTCTCGAGACTGCGGAGGAGTTTACAGAGCTCATCCATTCCATCGCCCCCGCCCGAGCTTTGTGAGAGTTGCAATATCGGAGCACCGTTCATGGCTCTAAGCTTGTTGAGGGCTTTGATAGGTTTCGTTTCGTGAATTTCAAGATTTAAGGGTTGCAGGGCACAGATAAGTTTCAGGGCTTCCGCCTCTGAGGATCTAGGTGGTTGGGGATTTTTCTAACAGAAGCACTCCACGAGTTTGGGTCCTTTACGGTTCAAGGGCATGGCCTTGCGTCCTGAAACTTACATCTACCCCATTAGCCTGTGCTCCCTACACTTGCACCTCTGAAACCCCAGATGCGCGAAGGTCTCGAACCTGAAGCCCGAATCTCTGCAGAGCATCATGCCTTGACCCGGGAAGCGCTTTCGGAGGACAGTGATTGTGTGCTCCCTTGCGCTGTTTTGTGCAGATACTTCCAGCATCAAACACAATGTAAGCACAGAAACAAGTACCCTAACACACCGGACATCGAATCCGGACTCAAAATCCGGAGCCGAAAACTCCAAACCCCAAACCCGAAGCCGAAACTAGAAGATGTTGAACCCCAAGCCCTGAACCCTAAAAAGCCAGTCTTCTGCGAACAAAGGAGGCCATTGCACCTGAAAAAGCCCTAAAAGCTGAAGCCCCTTAGATAGAGGTCGGAGGCAGCCTGACTTTTCTCTGGCCTTTGGGCCTTCCCAGGCCAGCCGACGCTACGGCCCAGATCCAGGGAGCCCGAGCGGTGACAGCGAGCAGGAGACCGGGGGTTTGGGGGCCTTTGGTGTGAAAGGTTCATGCCTTCCCAATAGCAGCAGGGCCGTAGATAAGGTAGTCCCTCATATAATCCCGTATTATGACCTCCTTACGATGTCCAGTGCTCTTCGGTGCCAGGAGTCCTCTGCGGTGGAAGCACCGGGAACTGCGGAGTCCCCACAAAAAGTGCTGCTGCAGGGGTTTGAGAGGTTCGGGGTTGAGGGCTCAAGGTTCCTTTCCGAATACTGGACAAGGAATAACGGTAGTTGTTGCAGAGGCCATCGAGGTAGGGTGTGCAGTGCGTTGTTTGTCCATGCACATCCTACTGGATGTGACACACCCAAATCGTGATTTTTGACACTCTTCAGAACTTCGAGAATCAGTTCCCTAAAACGTACGTGAACGTTTCCGCGTCGTTCGTCCTGACTGCTTGCAGGCAGCCAAAGAGTTGCCAACGCCCCGGGCGACGCCGCTGGGTAGGCTTGGAGGGGTTGTTCTTCTACCATTACTGCAGATACGGCGAGCACGACTTCACGACTGCTCCTTCTCCTGCTGCTGCTACTACCACCACTACCACTGATCGCCTACCAGCACCACCACCGCCACCACCACCACCACCACCACCACCACCACCACCACCACCACCACCACCACCACCACCACCACCACCACCACCACCACCACCACCACCACCACGATAACGACGACGACTACTCCTACTCCTGTACTCCTATACTCCTATACTCCGACTCCGACTGCTACTGTACTGCTACTGAGACGACGACTACTCCTAGTACTTCTAGTTCTCCTGCTACTCCAAGTATTCATACTACTCCTACTACTCCTGCTGCTTGCTACGCCTGCTACTCTTACTCGTCGGTGCTGCTGACTACGAGTGCCACGGCAGCAGAGGCGCTTCCTACTGCATCTGCTGATAGTTTCGTTGGAGTTTTACTGTTGATGCGCTCGTGGCTGCTTTTAGGTTTGTGTTCGAATTCCGAATGATTGCTGAACAGAATGATGTTGCTCGGACTTTTCAAAGGGATCTTCGGATTGTCTGTGCTGCCCAAGAAAGCACCATGGCAAGCTTTTGTTTCGACCGTGGCCCGGCGTTTGTTTGTGGTGGAATCCTCAGGCCTTGGAGCCCCATCATCTGGCCCGTAAACCCCAGACTCAGACCCGAAACCCAGTAGTTTTGGTACAATAGGAGTCTTGGCATCATCTTCCTTGTCCTACAGCCCGAAGCATCGGCCCTTCCCCCAACATCCCCAGGGCAGCCCATTTTCTCGGAGCCTCTGTAGGGGACTCGTGAGGTTTCAAGGATCCTAAGCCATGAACCCGAAACCCGACACCCCGAAGGACGATGAACTGGCGGCTGGACAGCTTGCCCCCCGCCATGCGAAAAACGATGTAGCAGGGCCAGGAACTCAGGAGGGGACAAAAGTGGGGGCTAGGGACCAGAATGGGGAACTGCTACTGATTCGTCAGACCCCTGTATTTGCGCTCGGCGGTTTGATCGAACTCAGGGACTAGGGGTTTCGAAGGTTGTGGGCCAAGGGTCAAACCTGCGCACGTTGTATTTTCTCAGGTTGAACACCCTAGTCTGAGCCTGAAACCCTAAATCCTGAACTAAACCCTAACCCTAAACCCTAAACTAAATCCCAAAGCGGATTAGACCCTGAAGAGGCCTTGCCCAAAAAGTCTCTAACTAAAGAGGCTTTGCTCAAAGTTCCAAGCCCGAGCTTTCACGCACAAGGTTTGTTTTTTTGAAGTTATGGGGTTTAGAGTTTAAGGTTTCAAAGGTTTTGTTCAGGGTTTTGGGTGTGCGGCTTTAGGGCTTAGGGTTTAGGGTCTTGGTGTTTTAGACTTTGGTTTAGGGTTTGTGGGTTTAGGCTTCAGGGACTCTGCTAGAAAATTGAGGGTTCTTCTTGTTCTTCATGTGCCTGGTACCTGTGGCTCTGTTCGCATTCTTCTCGTTACAACCGTAAAGCCCTGAACATGTGCTGGATCACTCAATTCGTTGCCGGAGCTTTTCGGTTTTGAGGATTTTCCCATCAAAGAACGCAACCTTCATTGCCCTTGCGCCTGAAGCTTCACGCGAGCTATAGGAGGGCTTGCAACTTCCTCAGTTGGAGTTAGCAAGAGGTTTAGCCATAGATAGCCAAACCCCAGCGTTAGCAACTCTGACCTTTAGGGGCATCTAGCGGGCTTTGAACCCAACACAACCTTACAGGCTCCTCGGGGCCTTGGGGCTTTCTCCGTAAGACGGCTTTGAACTCGGGCTTAGGTTGAGGGTTCAGGGTTTCGGTTTGAGTTTTAATCCGAGAGTTGCAAGCAAGGCCAATGTGGCGAGGCTGTCTCACCTTTTTCTGAGCTGGCACAGCGTTCTGGGGTTTGGAGTCTAGAGGAATCCATGGAGGGGGGGCCTCAGCATTTAAAGGTACTTAAGAGGCAAAGGGGATATCATTCTCAGCCTTGAGAGTTCCTGATGTCCGGAAGGCTTCCAGAAGTGAAACCGAGGGACCAACAGGGGCAGGGCATAGTTGTGAGTTTTCCCACACAAAGGGTGAGAGCAGGGCCGAGGGCTTCGAGTTAACCCCAGAACGCTTGGAATCCCTGGAGCGGAAGATCCAGGCAAGCGGAATCCTCGGGGTGCTCATGGTCTCCATTACAGGTTTAGGGTTTAGGGACATCACTCCATCTATCTACCCTAAACCCTGAACCCTAAATCCTAAATTTTTCATGATGTGTGATCTCGGAATCTTAGGGCGCACCAGAGCAATGGGCCCCGCTCGTCGTCCTTTGAGCTTCAGCCCGACCCCGAAAGCTAAACCCCGCGGTGCAACGGGCCACCACAAACCTCTAAACCCGGAAGTCTGAACCCGAAACCCTGAGACCTAAACCCTGAACCCTAGAACCCAAACTTGAGCCTCGAATCATGGCCCTGCAGATACGACCTTTGACGAGACCTTGGGGGTATTGGGTTTGGGATTGTAGGTTATCCTTAGGATCAAATCCTAAACCACGTCCATGAGAGCCACCGGCACTGGACTTGGCTCCATCCCCCGTTCCTCTGCCCCCGATTTCCCCATGCGGGAGTGCGAAAAAAGCCTTCAGCTCCAGAGGTAAGCAAGGGCTTTTGATGTTAGACATCGCGCTTGGGGTTAAGAAAGGTTTGGGGCTTCCGTCCCTCTTGTGGAATCGGGTTAACTCTGTGGGCCGCGAGTGGCTCCTCTGTAGAGTCCTATAGTTGCTAGAGCAGTGCTCCCGTTCACCACCAGACGCAGAAGTCTTGCTGCGCTTCCACCTTAAGACCCCTCGGCCCCCAACCCTAGGAACCCAAAAAACCCTAGGAACCCTAGGAGCCCTAAGCTCCGACAAGTTGCTCCCGACCCGAGGCCTTGAAACGCTGGACTCCCCCAAAATTCGAAACCTGCCCGCAAGGCTCCGCGATTTTCCATGCCTCCCAAGCTGCAAAGCCTCAAAAGCAGGAATGCGAGGTATGGTACGTAAAGGGTCGAGTACCTACAGCTTCAGGATGTAGGGTTCAGGCTACAGGGCATTCGGAAGCTCCGACTCTCTTGGGCTTGTCAACCCAACCGAGCCCCAAAGTTCTCGCGTAGGGTTGACCCCGGTACCTACTTCCGGTAGATTGAACCTCAAACCCTGAAGCCCAAACCCTGAAGCCTTCAACCCCCCAACCCGACCTTTGAAGCTAAAGCCTCAGCCAAACCCGTGAAGCTTGTGAGCATCAATGCTTTGGGGTGCAGGGTTTAGACGTAAGGATTTGTTTGAGAGAGTTCTGAAGGATTAGCAGTTGAGACGCCCACATCCCCAGCAATGGCGCGTGGCGCCCGCTCCGTCCGCTGGGGCCGCATCGGGCAGGCGAGTGGAATCATACCCCGGTTCAGATTTGTTTTGGGGTTGACGGCTCCGGGGTGCTGGGGGGTTTGTGGGAGGCTAACATCCTGGACTCCAAAGCCCAGGGCTACGCGTGGCTTCGACCCTTGCGTTCGACCCAAGCTTCATGAATCCAATCCCCGGAAGCTCCGATGGGGTTTCGACTTCAGGGCTGTGGAAGACAAGTCGTCACCTGCAGGGGTACCTAGGCAAGGTTTGTCAAAGCTGTAAAGCCGCAATGAGTGAAGCACGAGAGATTGCCGAAGGTCTTGCTGTGGCCTGTCTTTGTGGGCAGCCTCACATTCAGCTTGGCGGGCTGCTTACCATTTGCTGCTCAGGGTCCGTGGCGCATGATGCTTAATCACAATTGCATAGACACAAGTACTAAATCGTGGTCGGAGCTATGGGCGCATTCACAGGGACCCTGGGCGCTAGTTCAGCAAACCGCCAGCCGCAAACCCTACAAGCCGTCGCAGTCTTCACCCTCTCGCGGGTCTTGCAGATCCCAAGTTAAAATCCTAAAGGAAGAGAGCCAAAGCGTGACAAGCATCGAGACAAACAATAAGCCCGAATCCCTGAACGCGATGAGTTCGACTCGAAACCAACAGGAAGAAAATTGAAACTCGACTCCACTGACAGGGTACAAAGGTGCAGCCCTACCCTAAACCTTAAATCCTAAACCGTACACCCCAAAATGCCCCAAACCTTAAACCCCATATCCTACATCCCAAAAGCCCCAAACCCAAAGCTTTTAGGCCACGGGCTCGAAGCCCTAAACACGTAGCTCTCAAAACGTACAAGTAACACACACTCAAACCAAAGCTTTGAACCACCCGCCCCGCCGAGTCAAAAGAACGTCGTCCCGAAACGCCCATGCTTGCGTCTTCGTTTTGGGTGTCCTCACATGTCCTCCTGATGACACACTCCTACGAACCTCGAGGCTGAGCGGATGCCCTGCTTGAGACGGTATCAACCACTGTCAAGCTGCATAAGCCGCCCACAACATCGAACTTAAACGCTACCCCCTAAGGGTTTAGGGCTGAAGGTCAAAGGGAATGCCACCAGTACAGAAAGACAAAAATTGTAATAGTAGCAGGTAGTAGGAAGTAGTAGATAGAAACTAGTAAACAGTACTACTAATGGGCGTTTCACACCCTCTATTCCGAGCTGTCAGGTTCCCCGTCGCGCTGCCCCGGGAGCTGTGTGGCGGCCCCGGGGGAATCCCGACAGGGTGTAGGGTTAGCATATGAGGGCATTAGGGTATCAGGGTTTTAGGGGTTTTAGGGCTTTAGGTTTAGGGTTTAGGGTGTTAGGGTTTATTGTTAAGGGTGTAGGGCATAGGGTATGGGTCTGGGGCCTAAAAGCAGCCTGTGGGTTGGCAACGACCTTCAGCCTTGACAGCCGAAGCCTCTTCCAACCCCTAACACCCTGAACCCCAAGCCCTAAACACCTGCATAGCTTCTAAAAAAAGCTGATGGCATTGTATTGTTGATTTTCTTATGTCGCTATCGAATAATATGGTATACTGCATATCATATTCTCGGATATTCTGGTAGGTTCTAAGCCCCTAAACGATAAACCCTAAATCCCCAAAGCCGAAACCCTAAACCGTAGGACCTTTTCACTGCGAAGCCTAGGACGCAAAGTCGAAGCTGGCGCCAAGTCCATGAGGACCCGGCCTGTAACTAATAGAGCTTTAGGATTTTCTGGTTTCGGGGTTTTCGGGTTCAGGGTTTTGGGGTGGAAGGATTTCCGGGTTTAGGATCAAGGGCGTCTCGCCTCGCAGCGGCAGTTATTTGACTGTGATACCTGCGTCCAGGCCATAGAAACGGCGGCTACGGCCCAGGCAGGTCTGGGTAGGTTTTCAGGGTCCAGCTTTGGGGTTTTGCGGGTTTAAGTTTAGGGCTCAGGGTTTTAGGGTCTGGGATCCACATCTACAATGGAGGGGCGGCAGTTTGTGGTGACCTTGCCACCCACAGCGCGGAACCGCAAGGGTTAACGTAACCAGGGACTAGGGCCCTGGGGATGGGGCTCGGGCGGGACTCGTTTCAGGAGGCGAAGGGGCTGCAAGATCGGCTGAAGGCCGTGATGCTGGAGAGCGGCCAGCGGGCTGGGAGGCTCAGAGGTACTTCAGCCCTTCAGACTTTGCTGTTTTGTGAAGGGGTTTGGGTTTCAGGTTTGGGTCTTTACCTTTTTGGGACATGAAGCAGAGAGAGAGAGAGAGAGAGAGAGAGAGAGAGAGAGAGAGAGACGCTGGAGCTACACTACATACTCATCGTCCCGTCTTAGCCGCCTTTATGATGGTTTGTGCAATGTGCCCAGGACGCAAAACCTTGAAGCCCGAATTGCTTAAACCTTGAAGCCCCAACATCCAAACGCTTGGCGAGATCGCCGGAGGCATCCTCCTCTCTAGGGGTGCTGCAGTGCTGCAGAATGTCTTTCTTTACAAGCCTCGTAGCAGGACTGATTGAGGCTGGCCTCTTTCGGGTGTTGTATGTGTAACTGATCATACAG